GAATTTACTGTTCAATAAATGATGCTGGCAAAGGGGTGACCCATGGCTAGGGAAATGATGGGGTAGATTTTAACCTCACATGCACCATAGGTAAATTAATTCTTGGTAGGTTAAGGACCTAAATATGGAAACCAAAATTGTTATTAAAAATACAGAATATTTTTATGACATCAGAGCACTGAAGGAGCTCTAAAACAAAACACAAAAAAAGAAGCTATTAATAAACCATGAGGTTTTAAGAATTCTGAAGAAAGCGCCATAAGTAAAGATTTTAAAAGCCTTTGAAATATTAAGGGAGACAGCATTTGCAATGCACAGTCCAGACAAAGAATTAGTAATCAAAATACTTTCATACAACTCAAATCAGACAAACCAAAGAAGAGGAAAGAAGAAAGGCAATAAACACAAAAATATGGAAAAAATGTTTGACTTCACTGATAATTGAGAAAATACAAATTAAAATGAAATACCCTGTATCAGAAGGTCACAAGTCAGCAAAGTGACATCTGGGATGCTCTGGGTTCCTGCAGACCCTTCCATGGGGTCTGAATGCCTAAACTATTATCATCATCAGCCTCATTCCCTCCCAAGTGTACAGTGGTGGTTAACCCAAGGCCACATAACAATTGATGTCACAAGAGACCAACTGCTGACGCAGATATGAGAATCCAGCCAGGTGTGGTCTATTAAGCCAGACATTTAAGAGATCTTGAAAAATGCAAAGCAATGTCACTTTTCTAAGTTTTTGTTTGTTTTGGAAAACAGAGATTCTTATGTTAATATGTTATAAAAATATATTAATTTTGTTAACATATAAATGGATTTATTATTGTTATTTTTAAACAAGTTAATAAGCAAATTATTTTGAAATTTCATTTTAGTTAGGTAAATATAAATACATATAACTCATATAAACAAAAGCTCTTCGGGGTCAATAATTTTTAAAAGTGTAAAGGGGTCCTGAGGACAAAATGTTGGGTACCGGTAACAATGTAGAGCTAGGAGAATCCACATACACAGCCAGTGGGAGTGTGAACTGGAACAAGCAGTCTAGACAGCACAGCAGCTGCTAGTGAAGTAGAAGGCACCCGTATGCTACCACCTAGTGATTCCACCACTAGATATTTACCCTACAGAATACTTCGCACATCATTCTGCCCAATCTTCACTGTAGCTTTCTTTGTAGTTTTAAAAAATTCATTGTTTCAATTTCCCAAATACCTGTTAAGAACCTAAATGGGCTAGGCACTGTTCTAGATGCTTCAGGGTGGAGCGTGCAAGGCAAAGTGGCTGCCCTCATGGAGCTTGCATCCTGGTGGGGGAGATGGATATATGTTACGAAGTCAAACCAATGCAAGGAGGCAAAGAGAGACCAGGATGTATGTTGATTGTATGTATCTTGGCATGTTTGAAACAGCCAGAATACCAGTGTATTTGAAGCAGAATAAACAAAGAGACAAGTAAAAAGAAATGTGATTAGAAAGACAGGAAGCAGATAGCTCATGCCTGGTCTTCTGGATCATGGTAAGTCTTTGGAACTCACTTACATGGATGGAAGTGATTAAAAGATTGTAAGCAAAAAAGTGATACAATCAAACTTATGTTTATAAAGCATCACTCTAGCTGCTTTCAGAAGAACAGATTATGGAGGTGCAGTAAGGCAAGAATAGAATCAGGATGGTGAGTCAGGAGAATATTCCAATAATATAGATGAAAGACAAGAGTGTTCAAGACCAGAGAGGTGGTTGGGATGGGGCACAGGACTGACACAACCTGCTGATGGATTGACTATGAAATACACAGAAGAATAAATCCAAGCTTATTGGCCTAATATTGGCTGAATCATCTAAAGCTGAAAACATGTCTACAGTCATAGGACTGGGAAGCATAGCTAGAGAAGAGAAGGCTCAGGATGATGGTATATATCCACGCAATCGAAGACTATACATCAGTTTAAATGAATAAACTAGAGCTACATGCATCAAAATGTATGGCAATGGGAATAACCCAATAGAGTAGGAGAGAAAAGGGATAAGTAAAAAGCCAAGAGAAGATGTGATCCACAACACAACCAGAAACGTTGGTCTTAAAAAGGAAAAAGGACAACTCTTCCTCTGCAGAGGAAGGAAGTATGCAGAGTATATGGTATACAAATGCAGGCAGTTTGATGGATTCTCTAGTGGGAAAATAAAGATTTTATCTAACAAAAGGGGTTTTTTCTTTTAAAAATGAGATGAGGTCATTAGCTGAGAGATGGGTGGCAACAAGTACTCAGAAGCCAGTACTACAGGATTATCTGTTAGAACTGAGTGCGTATTCAAGATGCATAGTCATAGCTTTGCAATGAGTATAATCAGCAAGAAGTTGGCATGGATGAACCTCAAAAACATTATGCTAAGTGAAAGAAGCATTGTATGATTCCATTTATGTGAAATATCCAGAATAGATAAACCCATAGTGACAAAGCACAGATTGGTGGTTGCCAGGGGCTGGGAGGAGGAGGGAATGGGGAGAAACTGCTTAATGAGTAAGAAGTTTTACTTTAGAGAGATAGACATATTTTGGAACTAGAAAGAAGCAATGGTTGCAAAACATTGTGAATGCACTAAATGCCACTAAATTGTTCACTTTAAAATGGCTTTTATTTTTTAAATATAATTTTAAAAAGAAGAAGGAACTGAATTAAAACATTGTGTAGGAAGAGAATGACACACTGAGATTAGCTTCAGGTCTCAGCTCTGCCCCAGGGAGGAAGATCTTGTTAAGAACACACTGCCAATAATGGAAGGTGTAGTTCTGCTCTCAGTTTTTCATACTCCTAAATATGCATTCAAATTTTACCTGCTCCTTTGCCATAATGATGAGTAAAAAGATAACCCACTAGTATTTTATAAAATGCATCAAATCCTTTCCCTATGATTATGAAGTTCAGCTTGTTTTTGCAAGGTAGCAGTGCTCAAATGTCAATTCAAGTGTTTTGCATATTAATCAAGAAACCTGATCAGGCCCTAAGTATTTCTTGCATAGTTACTGGGAAATAAAAGTCATATAAAACACAAACTTGGCCTTCAATAAGCTTGCAAATCTCAGAAAACGGAAAAAAAAGAATCTTGTCTCTCATTACTTTTTCCAACTCCTGAAGAAAAGGAGAAGGAAAAGAAGAAAAAGAAGAGGAAGAAAACAAGTAAAAGGACCAAAGAGGAAGAGGTGGAAGGGGTAGAGGAAGAGGAGGAGAGAGGAAGGTAGGAAAGAGAGTAAGAGGGAGGAGAAAGGAGCAGGAAAAGAACCAGCAGCCGAGTGATTGGGTATTTAGGGTTCATCATATTTGGAGGTGTGTTGGGTGACAGCAGAGGAAGATCAGGGCAAGAAGGTTCAGATGGCCCGCAAGGCAGTAGTGACAGTGGCTGTGGTGCAATAGTAGCCTGCGATCTAATCTAGACAAAAAGAAGAAAACGATTTTGATAAGACACTCTTCTTTCTCCACGTCCAAGTGAGCAGTTAAATGCCTTGTCAGTAAAATACCTTCCTGGGATGGAGAACTCATCTATAGCCCCGTCTCCTGCCTGCTTCCAAGGATATCCCAAACCTTTGTGTCTGGTCATGATCGGGTTCAATTCCACATGCCAACCAAGTGCATGTCAATGTCGCGGGTTACAGCTGATTTCCTGAGATGGACCCAGAAAGTCAGTCCATGCTTGTCCTGCCTGGCCTCTCTGCTTCCCTTCAGCAGGACCTGTGGACGCCCTGGTGCCACTCTGGTCCAAGGAAACGCCAGTCTCATCTACCATGAGAACAAATACCTTGCACACACCGTGCAGCCGAGGAGTATGTCTTGGGTTTAAAGAAGACATTCTTTTCCAACAATTAAAAGTAGAATAATAAATAAAATTGCATGATGTTTTTAAGTAAGTTTTTATAATTTACATATGATGCTCATATAAAATTTTGCTATGTTGATTAAAAAAAAAAACTTTGTTAAGGAATAAACTGTTTCTTACCAGCAATCCTTGTCTGTGAAACAGAACAGGGCTCCTGGAGACGTTCCTTCGGTGTGCTAGGCACTTCTCTGCATATCTATCGCACCAGGCCAAACAAAAAGAGAAGAATAGCATATAAATAAAGATGATCATGTTTTCCAAAGAAGAGGTGTCATTCTGAATGACAACACTGCAGTTTTTCTTCCCCTTAACACCCTCATTATCCACACAGTTCACCCCACTGACACTGTTAATTAGAACATCAACCAAATCTTTAGCTATCCTGACTGCACTGAATGCTATCTACTCCCCCTCCCTTGAATTCTGTTCATACTCTGCAATCCTGACTTTCCTCCTACCTCTCTAGCTCTTCTGAGTTTCCTTCGCTGGCTTATTTTCCTCTGCCTGTGCATCAAATACCAACCTCCTACACGGTAGATGTTTTGGTCTTCATACCTTCCACCCTGGACTTTCTCCCTGAGTCCTGACTTCCAATGGTTTCATGTACCAAATGGAGTTTTGAGAGACTGAAGATCCCCCCAAAAACATATCTTCAGTCCAGCTCTACCAACTGGGTATTTAGACATGTCCAAATCTGAATTCATCATCTCTGTCTTTGCTGACACCCACTTTGTAAACCTTTCTAACAATTGAAACTAATCTTTGTATATCCATGCTTAGGATCACTCCATCCATCTCTATAACACGGCTATAGTAATCTTTCAAAAACATAACGTACCTCTGCTTAAAACTCATTAATAGCTGCCCACTACCCTCAAAGTAGTGAATTGCTCTCAAGATGGAGCTCAAATTCCTTATAATACAACATGAGGCCTCCAGGATCTGGTCTCTGAGAATCTCTCAGCCTTACATCTGTGTTGAGCAACTTCCAGGAACCAAACGCACTGTGCTCTGTCTCCCCCAGGCCCTCTCACTTGCTGCTGCTTCTACAATGTCCTTTCCCCAACTCTCAACCTGAACTATACTTACTCATCCTTCACAAATGAGCCTGGATGTGATCTCCTCCATAAAACCTTCCATAGTTACCCTGCAAGCCAGCCAGGTACTCCACCTGTATGTGCCCATGGCTACCTGTGTGTTATAACTGTTTCTCTCCTTGTCTCACTCATGATAAGCTCTTTGGCTTAGAAGCAGTGCCATACTCTGTTGTATTCTCAGTTCTTAAAATGATACCTGGCATAAAGTGGGAGTCCAATAAAAACTTATTGAGTATATGAATGAATGCTTGCATGAATAAAGTAGTCCAGATAGTATTTCCCAAAGTGTGTTTGTTGAGATTCTCTACACAATAAGCATTGTTTGGTCTTAGACATGCATAATTCACCAAAGTGTATTATATTAAAATCTATATGAAATCCTGTAGTGACAGAAGCTTTAGCATTGTCCAAATTGACCACTGTGCCTTTTTGTATACAATACCTACTGACATCCTTTATGTTAAATAAATATGTGTGCTTTGATTGCATTTGGACAAATTGAGGCTGGCAAGGGACATGGGGGCCCATATTTCTACAAAGGAGTGTAAGGGAGAGAACAAGCAGATAAAGTCAGAAAGACAGCAGGAGGCCAAACCATGAGGGGTCTCCCAAGTCACAGTAAGCATCTGAGCCAGACGGAAAACCATTAGTGGTGATCTAAATTCTGCACGTGTTGGCTACTTTGTCTAGAAGAGACTGACAATGGATGAAGAAGGAAGCAGGGAAACCAGCAAGGAGGCCACTGCAGTCATCAAGACAAGAGATGACAGTGGCTCCAAACAAGTTAGTGGCAATGGGGGTCATGAGAGGCAGTCAAATTTATAATATTGTTTTGGCCTGAGAAAAGTTGAAAGAATTGTATAGGAAATAATCTCGGGCCACATGACATCTACGATTGCCAAACTTTTGCTTCATTTGCCTTATCATATGTAGCTATCTGGCCAACCACGAAGCTACCCAAGAAGCAGATACATATTTTGAAGAAGTTGATGATGGTGACTCCAGGGTGTAGTTTTTGGTTTAGGGGTTTTTTTGAGGGCTTCTTTCTGTTTGTTTTTGAGATATAATTTATACATCATAAGACTCACTCCAAGGTTTTTGACCTAAGCAATATTAAGTATGTAACTGCCATTAACAGAGGTGTGAGATGTACGTTAAGACATGAGAGGGTAGGGAGAAAGATGTCAGGAGCTCAATTTCATATGTAGGTTTACGATACCTATTAGACATCCAAGTAGAGATGTTGAGCAGGCAGTTGTATATGCAAGTCTAGAGTATGGACAGAGGACCAGGCCAGGGCTGCAGATGTGTGAGTAACAGTGACTCAGCAAGGTAGTAATTCTTAATCAGAAAGATCAGATCAATAAAGCACCTACATCATTAGATATAGGATAATGGCTACCGTTTTAAGATGATCAAGCAGAGACAAAATGACTGATATGGAGTCTGTCCAAACCAAGGACAGAGACACATCCATTCAATGTTCCACTCAGACCTCTTACTCTGATAGGGCATGTACCGGGCCAAACTAAAAAGAAATCTATACCTTCATCTACCCTTAACTGTTTCAACTAGGAAAAAGTAATGGCATGAGGGAAAGATATCTTAGTCGAATCTGTAGTCACAAGCCATTACATTCCAATGGAACCTAGTATTCATAAATACATATTGAATGAATAAAATCATTAACAATAAACATACATGTGTGATAATTCATATGTAACATCAGAAAGCTATTTTAAGGTCTTCATTTTCAGAATATAATCACTGGCACTTTGTTGCCTAATTCCAACATATATTATCATTTAATGTAGTCTATAATGCATAAATCCCCTAGAACAAAGAATACCATGTAAAATAAAAGGTATTCTTCAAGAATACATGCTTCTGTCTATGACAGATGAAAAAAATCACTGTAAACATTAGTCAGCATTAGTAAAACATGCCCATATTTGGATATACTTAAAAACAAAATAATTATAAGACCCCACTTCTTTGACAACAAAATCAATAAATGTAAGACATGTGTTATAGTAATTCTATACACACACCTTATTCCATGTAGTATTTACAGTTCTTAAGCTTTCTGAAATTTTATCTCTTTCATGTAAACTCAGGCTTTTATCTGAAAGCATTTCCAATTCAGTTCTATTCAACCATTTGAGTTTTTCAGCTTGCACTTCCATCTCCTGGGTTAAGGCCTAAAGGAATCAGAAGACAGGTGTGGTTAGAAGGTTAACAAACAGTAGAAAGTTCAAGAACTGTATTAGAAATCTCTTTGGAAAGTATTCTTCTAAATATAGATTTTTAATTTCTTAAATGAAAAATTGAACTCATGTTGATAAACTGTAACCAACAAGGGAATGAACACACATCTTCAATGTACATTTGTGTGTGCATGTGCACAAACGCACTCTCTGTCTCTTAATAGCATTAAATTATATTATATTATATTTACTTTGCTAATTTAACATTCTTTTCTTATCTCCACCTTGCCATCCCATCCTAATATACTGTCCCACTTTTTGTAACTCTCCCCAAGTTGTTTTCAAAAGGGACATTCCAAGAAAACCATTGAAATTTTTAAATTAAAAAAAAAAAACTTCTTAGATGTGGTCACATGTTAAAAAGAAAACTTAATAAATGTTTGCCACATAATATTTGTCATCATTATGAAAAGTTTCTTCCTCTAAAATGCTTCAATCATACTCCGTTATAGACAAAATCTCTCATCTAATTAGTAAATATCCTCCCATGCATACTTTTATGCATGCACTCATGTGGGTATACACACTAACAAATTCTTTTTCTTTAATAAAAATAAGAACACATTATGCCTACTGTTCTGCAACAAGTATTTTAATTTTTAGCACAACAAATATGAGAGTTTATGGATATAAAAATCTGTAAATATTTGGATATATTACATATTCATATATTTTTATGTATTTTTACAGATTGTATATATATACAACTATAAACAATTCTTGTTGGGTGGAAACCAACAAAGAAAATGTGTTTATAATACAGTCATGACACTAAGCCCATAGTAAGCTACAGTGAGTTACTCTGAAAGTCAGCATTTTCTTGTAAAACTCAATTTTATAGATAATAATCAGTAATTATTCCAAATCTAAAAGCAAAAAACTATATTCTACAACCCTATTATATTCCACAATGATAAAGTCAGTTCACAATATCCTAAAAACCTTTGGACTAATACTTAGACCACAATGGTTTGTCCTTTTTATGTGAGTGAAGCTTTACCTCTGCAAGAACAAAATTACAGCTGCTCTTTAAAAAATAAGGAAGGATATTCCTCTTGCAAGTCCACCACATTTACCACAAAGTAGCTTCTTTCCTTTTCTTCTTCAGTCATGCAATATCTTATTCTTAAATGTAATGTTTGAGCATCAAAAGGCATTGGCAAATACAGAGACAAATAACCACTTACTGTTAATTCTTGCAGGTTTTCTTCCAGCTCAGCAGTGGATCTCTTTAGCAAAGCATTCTCGGCCTTTGTTAACCAACTAATAATCTCATCTAGCCTATTTCTAAATTCTGTCACCTGCTTACTTTCTCCTTTTAGCCTAAAAGAAAACATTATTGAAAAATATTAAGAAAAATTATCTAATTAAGGAGAACATTATATATTTGCTTTGGATATTCCAACTAAATATTTCCCAAAATAAATAATTCCTAATAATTATATTAATGTGTATTTTTAAATGAATCTTAGTATTATATACATTCTGCAGTACTAAAAATTGTTTAATAATAGAAGAATAAAAAGAATTTTTCCTTAATTCAAAAACATTGGAACTAAAGAATATTATCTTCTTTCATCATGAAAAATTATATAGAAATTTAAAACAAAAAACTTTTTAAGTTAGATACCACTGAGCAACATAATAGAAATTTTTTTAAAACATGAAAAATGTCTTTATCTAAAATAATAAGGAAAAACATATAATTCTCTTTGAGTACTCCATGGAGACAAAAAAGCCTCATTATATGACCTGTTATTCACATTGAGGGGCAACTATTTCATAGGACAGAAAGAATAAGAACAAGGCAAGATACTGAGAATTGGAAAATTGTATAAGTATTGGGAAAGACAAAAAATGTAAATTTGGTTAGTTCATTATAATAAATATTATATTTGAGTATAGCACCAAGTTGTAAAAAGAGATGTAGGGAAAAAAAAGCAAAACTTTTAAATGATGCAAGTAAAACAGTCAAATGAATATAAAAAAAGAACTGCCTTAATTAGATCTTTCAAATGTAAGAATAACGTTTATAAGAATATAAACCATCTGTCAAAAGATAGGAATATGATTAGGACTCGTATGACAATAAAATTATATATTTTTAAAAAAGGATTTGAAAGCTATTAAAAGCTAGGTGGTATCATTATTTTTATAGCTTCTATAATTAACTACTAACTTAAAAACAGAATGCAGCTTTTAAATGAATTACACTGTGTCATCCCAAATAAGAATTTATGTTTTATGCTATCACGATCCTTCTTAATTTTCTAACAAGGCTACACATCCGGTTCGTCAATATTGTAATAAAATATTAAAGTACAAAATATGTAATATATGTTGAAAAAATAAATACTTATATATTAATAAAGACAATAATATTGAGACTATATAATGTTTAGAAATTAATGAAAATCACTACACAATCATAATTCTTAAGTACCACCAGAAAGAACTATTCAAGATTAAACATAATAAACCAGCAATAGCTCGAATTATGTTAACCTACATAAAAACAGTACTCAACCTCTGTATTGAAAGTTATTACTTGTATCTCAAAAAGTATTTCAACTAAATAACAAATCTTTGGAAACACTCAAACTTTTATGGGCCTTTTTTTCAAAAAAAAGTTGAAATAAATTAAAGTCAATTTTCATAAATCATGCAGATTTAGTACTTTTGAAAATAGAACTATGAACGGCAAATTAACATTATCAAGCACATTTCATAGACATTCTTGAGTACCCAACCATTTCATCTGCAAATAGCTAATGTATCTGCATCATTTACATTTACCTCCTAAAGCAGTAAAAACAATATAAATTTCTTCAAACCAGTAGTACAACTTTCTTTTTTTTTTTTTTTTTTTGAGACAGATCCGCTTCTGTTGCCCAGGCTAAGAGTCGAGTGCCGTGGCGTCAGCCTAGCTCACAGAGCAACCTCAAACTCCTGGCTTCAAGCAATCCTACCTGCCCAGCCTCCCAAGTAGGGCTACAGGCATCGCACCGATGCCGGCTAATTTTTTGTATACTAAATTTAGTTGGCCAATTAATTTCTTCTCTATTCTATAGTAGCAACGTCTGCTCTGCTCAGCTGGTCTTCCGAACTCCTGAACTCGAAGCCAGTCCCGCCTCAGCCTCCCACGCAGAGCTAGATTACAACGTGAGCCACCCGCCGCCCGGCAACATTTCTCATTAAGGAAAACACCCATATAAGTTGCGAACTATACAAATTTTACATACTAGGCATCAATACAAAACAACATAAACTAGTGATAATTCTCAGCTACTCTGAATAGTACACATCACCGAGCTCTCACAAGGTCGGCTGCCCTTTAAGCACAGATTCCAAAATTGAAGTACAGTTTAACAATCTAGAAAACAAATATTCTTCAGTCAAAATATAGATGTTTGAAGAAGAGATTCATTATTCTTTACACTCTCCAAAAATGAGTTAATAATATTAGTTTCACTTTGTTAATTCAGGAGCTATAACTGGCAACTCCCCACAGAGATCCATTTTGAAATCTTAGGAAATTTCTGCATCTTATTGTTAATACTGCCAGGAACGTACATGTTTTTCCTTAAGAAAGCCAAGGAACACCATCATTTCAAGCTAGAAGAGTCTCCATGCAGACTGATTAGCATGACATATAAAGATCTTATGGACCTCAGCTTCCAATCCTACCGCACTGGTCCCTTGAACCCTCCTCTCTACTCTGATCCAGCACAGATCTCTCACATGGCCTGATATTCATGCCTCCCATATTTGCCTATTCTACAACTTTTCTCTAAAAAGGCCCTCCTGGAAGATATTTATGGGAAATTGCTATAAATGCTTCAAAAAACGCTTCAGTATCCCTCTCTATAATCACCTAAATTCCACAGTTCCATCAACCTGCCTCTGGACAACCTGTACCTGCTTAATGATTTTTTTCAATTATTTTCTTCTTCTTAGTCTCTTAGTCATACTTATATCCCCAGTCTAAACACAAGGCTCAATAAATACTGATCAAATCAATGAATCAATCATCCGCAAAATGTAGCAATAAAATGCTTGGGAAAAGTTCTAGGGTAACTTACTTTCATAAGAAATAGATATTTAAGAGTTTATATATGCATAATCAGGGCAAAGCATTTTACAAACACTATCTCATTTAATCTTCATGAAATCGCTCTGAGTGACAGAAGTTCTCATTTACACAGGAAAACTTTGGCCAGTGAGTCTGTGTCTTCCCAAGTTTGTACAGCACAGTATTTGAGAGTACAAAATAGCACCATCACCTAGTTTCTATGAGACCTTGGATAAATTACTTACCTCTTTCTCTCTGACCCTCAGTTTCAAAGCTGTACAACTGGCCTAACAGTACCCTAAAGAGGGTAGGTGAAGATTAAATGAGGCTACGTGTGCAAAGTGCCAAATACTCTCTCCTGCAACGTGATAATCTCTCAACGAAACTACAATTATTTTCTCTTACCAAAACACAAATAATAATTTTTTAATAAAAAGCCACTCTAGGCTACATCATACTGGAATATTTTAGGTCATATTATAATACTGGACTTGATAAATACCGACAATCCTGTAACAAAATAGTTTATCACTGAAATAATGCACTCCCTACAGTGTTAAAATTAGCAGAAAAAAATATTTTGGACTTTTTAACCAAACTACCAATAAAAACAACAAAAAGATCATTAATGAGATGGAATAAATTAAACAAAGGAGAAATCACTTAAATCTAACTGTCTCAGAAAATAAGGTTCAAATTATTATTTTATATTATTATTATTATATTTATTATTTTGAGACAGGAGTTCACTCTGCTGCTCGCTAGAGTGTCGTGCCCAGCCTAGCTCACAGTAACCTCACATCTCTGGGCTCAAGCGATCTCTTCTCTCAGCCTCCAGTAGCTGGAACTACAGGCTGCGCCACCCCAAACGGCAGTATTTACTATTTTTTGGCTACCAGACGGGGTCTCGCTCTTGCTCAGGCTGGTCTCAAACTCCTGAGCTCAAATGATCCACCTGCCTCAGCCTCCCAGGGTGCTAGGATTACAGGCATGAGCCACCACACCTGGCCTCAAATAATTTTAAATCTATAAAATACGGATAATGTTGAGTATTATATTCACTGGTAATAAAACATATTTGCAGCCAGAAGATGCCTAACAAATTCTGGGGCCTTATGACATAAAAGTTAACAATAATATGTTTATTATATTATATAGATGAAGAACTTTATTATTTGCGAAGCACTTACTTATATGGATAGAGTGCACCCTTTGACACTAAGAATAATGTAGTGAGAGAAATTACGAATGTAGGGTGCAGTCAGGAAATAAGCAAAGGGAAAGCCTCACCTTGAACCCAAACCTTCAGACCAGAGGTTGGATGTTTTCTTTCAATTACTTTAATTTCCCACCATAATCATCATTTCATAATAAACAGCCAGTATAAAAGAGCTTTTTACACATATTATATCTGAGTAGAAAAGTAAGAGTACGGAGAACCTAAAAATACAGTAAGGGGAACCATGGGCAGTGGAGGTTATCAGTGTTAGTAAAATCCCTATTGGAATATCAGACAATAAAAGAATTTTGTACCCATCGAATTGTATCTTAAAAAATTCTCCCTAAAATATGTTTATTCCTGTGCTCTCAAACAATTATGGCTAAATCACCTGGGTTGCCTATCCATCACTTCTGCAATGATAACACTCCAGCGTTGGTTTAATCCTGCCAGCTTGTCTTTCAAGAAGCTTCCATCTGTCAGGGAGAGTTTCTGGACAATCCTATCCCCAGTTCGATTTAGTGCTGCAAAACTGGGCTGGTGGCTACTGATGCCCTCTTCGAGTTCCTACAATCAAGCACAACTCAAGATTAATGCCACGACTAAATTAAGCTGTTCTGATGCAATGAATCCATCTACGTAGTATGACATCAATTTAAGCATTAGAGAAACAAATTCCTGGAAGGATATTTTACGTTCATGAAAAAGGCATTTTCAAATAATATATATTTCAATGAATACACTAAATGAAATCTATTTGGAAATCTAACCCATCCTCATGAATGTCATCAGGCAAACACAATGAAATAGAAGATCCTAGTAACATAAAACAATTAATAGCTGTTTACATTAAAGCATATGCATCAATCATGTTTGATTAAAGTGAATTGCTTATCTTCTTCCAAATAAATGTTTTGAAAGAATCCCTTAAAAATATATATAACTATCCCCATATACCCTTATGTCCTACCATATATCAGTAAACCTCAATATGTCTTTACTGAGACACTGCTTCACTGGTCTGCAAATTTTTAAGTAACAGATGAAAGAGATATTTTAAAGTCAAATTTAAGCACTGTAACTCCAAAAATAACAAAAATGCATTGACATGCCTCTAAGAAAAATATTAATAAAAGCATTCTCTTTAACTTCTCAAGAACTTTCTACATAAAACACATATTTAAAATTTAATAAAAGAGAAAATATTTTTAACAATGGTAAAATTGAAATTTTATTTGTTTTCTACCATTATTTTCAAAGACCTATTGTTATCAGCAGAACTGATTCGGCAATTGTGTTATATTTTCCCAAGACTGAATTAGACTTACATGAGCAGCTGTCCTGCTATAGCTCAAGAATAATTTACTTTTATGATAACTATCAACGATATAAAGAAAAACGAGATGCCCAAGAGGTTAAGTACAGAAAACAAAGGTAAGGTATGCATATATTTTTCTGTCTTTGATATACACTTGAGTACAAAATATTACAAGTGTTAATCGGAATATAAAACTTAAAAAACAAAGTTTTTTTTTCACATTTGCCACTAAAGAGCATTTTTTATTTAACTTTCTTTAAAATCCTGATGAAAAATCCTATATGACTAATTTTCTTAAACCTTTGAAACTGGAAACTAGAACTAGAACAAAAATTAGTTTGTAGGCTCCTGGAAAATTAATATATTTGGTCCCCACTTCTGAAAGCCATCTTAACAGCCAGATGCTAAACACACATGCAGCCTTTTCGGCAGATGCCCCTCTCTCTAACAGAACGCACTCACCTGCTGATGTCTCCTGGCTTTCTCTAAGTCCAGACTGCCACCTGGAGCACACGTATGGACCAGCAACTCTTCAGCTTCTGTTATCCACTGTGTGAGGTCATTCAGGTCACAGTGGAACTGTCTCCATTCTTCCACAGCCCTATCAAAATAACTACAGGACAACAAACAAAATAGGTTTCCAAACTTTCCAGAACTGCCCAGAAGCAATTTTTCTAAAAAAAGAAACTCAAACTTCATTTAAACTGAAAGCCCTCCAATCAGTGAATTCACAGTTCATTGCTCCACAAGACCAATTGTCATGGTGGGTTACAGTTAATATTAATAATTCTTGTTAGAGAAAAAGGTATCACATCAAGAGCAAAGCAATCTGTGCACACCATCACCTTCCCACCTCCCTCTCTCTCACACTTACACACACACACTCACACACTCACACAGGCACACGAACACACAAAGGCAGCTTTTTAACTGAGAAGCTTTAGCCTTCTCTGGCTTGGAAAATCAAGATTGATTAGCTGTAGGCATGTTAACCTACCCAAATTTATACACTTAACATTTAAATACCATGAATTGTAAAATATGATTAATTACTCTCTCAGGAAAAAAAAATAATGTTATTGTACTGCCAGAAAAACGTTCCCAGATAGAATAAAGCCCAAAGGGCCAAAACACTTCACAGTTTTCTGATACTCCCTTATCTCTATGTTATAGACTGAACTGTGTCCCACCAAAATCCGTATGTTGCAGCCCTGGCCCCCAATGTGACTGTATTTGCAGATAGAGCTTCTAAGGAGGTAAAGTTAAATGAGGTCATAGAGTGGGGCCCTAATCTGAAAGGACTGGTGTCTTCATTAGAAGAGGAGGAAGCACCAGAGAGATCTCTCACGTTGAGGACACACCAAGAGGGTAGCTGTCTGCAAGCCAGTAATAAAGGTCTCACCAGAAACCAACCTTGCTGGCACCTTGATCTTGGACTTCCAGTCTCCAGAACTGTGAGAAAATAAATGTCTGCTGTTTAAGCCACCCAGCCTGTGGTATCTTGTTACGGCAGCCCTCGCAGACTAATATACTTTGGGTAGTGACTAATCCTGAGTGTCCCATTTACCTGAATACAGCACAGTACAGACGTGCATGGAAAGTCACGTTAGGAATGAGAGAAAGGGCTAGTGAGACCTCTGTGTAAACCTAACTCTTTCAGAAATGAAATAGAGTAAAACCTCAGTGCTTGTCAAATTCAAATACATAAAATAAGTATAAAAAGGAAAAGCTTTTAGGATTAGGATCATAATGAATTTTTTTCTTTTTTGTCTTTTTTTTGTAGAGTAGTAGAGCTGGGAGAGGTAGAAGAGATCACTGAAATTTTAATAATATTAATAAAATTTTTATTTGATATAAGTATAATATTATTACTTTAAAAATAATAAAATGGCCTGTGACTTCAGTAACCCCTAAATAATGCTTATTTTTGCTTCCTTCCATGAAAATCATTTTTCAAATTCAGATAATATTTATTGACTGCCTACAGGGAAGCAACTTTCTCTTCAGCATGACGAAAATAAGAGCACTTCAAACAATACACTATGAGAAGATCTTAAAATATTCATTATTGTTTGTAAAAATGTGTAATAACTACATTAACAATCAAAATTTCCAAATTTTGAGATACTGCAATAATGAATAGAAAATATTACTGGACAGGCTGTTCCAAAGATTAAAAGACTTTGAGTGTAAACATTAAACTTAGGAAAGATCAATACCATCATTCACAGAACATTAAGTTTCAAATAAATCTAAGCAGCATAGTTATGGGTTAATTTGAAAAGAGCTGTACAAAAGGATGCTCAGGTAGAGTTTGCAAAGCCATCACCAATAAACATATTTTAAAAATATTCAAATCTCAGTGATAATCAAGTAAGTGAAAATACAACTGAGATGCAATCTATCACTATAAGACTGGCAAAGATTAAAAAAAAATAAATGAAAAGCCTGCCAATGTTAGCAAGGGTTCAAAAACAAGGACACTTTTACAAATACTGTTTGGCAGGGGTAGAGTAAACAGTTTCATGATATAATCCAGAGTCTTAAAATGTTATTATTTTTTAACAAATTTGTCTTCATCTAATAATTAAGCCTAATAAAGGTACAGATAAAGACAGTTGTAAAAGGTGATTTTCTAAATGTACAAAGAGATAATTCTTAAAATCCATACAAAAGAATATACCAAAGGCTATTAAAAGCTATCTTCTCAAGAATTGCTTAGTCACATGAAATTCTAGGCTAAAATATTAAAAAAATGAAGAACACGATGCCTAGGTTTTGCGTGTAGTCTCCAATGTATTATTCTGTGTTAGCGTTCCTCTTATACAGTTACTTTATATTGAGCTATTTTCTATCTTATCTGCCTCTTTACCACATTCACAGCTACTGGCAAAAATCTTATCAGTTTTTATTTCTATCTATTAATAGGCCTAGTCAAAATCTAGTAAGAAGAAGGTTCAAAAACATTCTTTTAAACAGACACTTATAAAAAAGAGTCCGGGGTTATATATGGATTCTCATTATCTGTAGTTGTCTCTGTTCTTCACTCATATTTATCACCAAGTGTATGGAGAGAGCGGATATTAATGAAAATCCTTTTTAATTTTTTTAAAGAAAATCCTTTTTAAATTTTTTAAAGAAAATACTAAAAATTAGAAGTGCTTACACACCATTAGGATATTGTGTCAGAAATGGTCATCTATATGTGATCAGAGTCCTCTTTCTTTAAGGAACTATACTCATCACAATTTATTAAATCAGAGTATATTACAAGGATGTTCTCAATGTGTACAAGACCATTTCCATGGCCCATGAACTTACGGGCATTGCTTAAAAATGAAATATTAATTTTATTTACACATACCCTTTCCGATCACTGTATATTCTGTTAACTCTGTCCCACTTTGCATTCAACTGAGTGAGAGCATCTCTGATCTGAATGGCTTCAGGTCCAGAAGCGTCAAGAATAACATCTGGTTGTTTTTCATGAATGACTGCAATCTGCTCTCCAAGTTTGTCCAGTTGGTCTTTGATATTCTAAAAATATATTATCATACATTAACAAAACCTAGCAAAGTAACAGAAAAAGGAATCACAGATGATCAAAAATTTATACTGTATAACATTCGTTTAAAATAATAATGAGGCCTAATAACTGTTGCTCATGAAACTTCTTTGCCTTCAAAGAAGGAAAAAAAAAAGAAAACAAGAAACTTAAAAAAAAATGTATATCCTTTTATTGGCCAAAGTAGGAGGAATGCCACATAATATACTAATGGTACGAGAATAAAAATCCTCACAGATGTTCAAAGTGGCATTTGTACATGACATATGAGAAGCTTCATTAACATTCTGTAAAGGAAATGAGGTGTTTGAAGCTGGAATTATTTATATTTTCAAATGTTTAATAATGTTAGTTTAAATGACAGAAATGAACTATCAAGCCTATAAATCTATCAGTGATTTTATTGTGACACTATATTTAAATGCAATCAAATTATACAAAAATGCCTTGATAGAATTTAACAGATTTTTAATTTACAATCAAGATGCCATTCCACACCTCAATCACTGACCAATCTTAAAGCAATATAAATGGTCTATTAAATGCTTACATTTTACATCAACTGACAGTCAGGTTTACAAAACAGGAATATGGTCTGCGTCTGATTTTTAAAAAGGGCTCTGATGTAAACAATTAATAACTGTGCACAGTTAAAAATCCATACCCACTTTTAAAAAAATTAAAACTTTTTGATTGTATTTTATCAGAGAATACAGAAAAAGGTTTATTATTCACATACATTATTAATTCCCTGGCACAAATTTTAAAAGCTATAGACCATCGAAGCAGGCACAATAACCAATTCCTTGCTTTATTTCTACATTAACTACAGCCATTCCAATGCAGTACCCGGAGACTCACCTTCAGAGAGTCCTCTTGAGAAGAGAAGTCTTCATAGCTTGCGGTGTTTAGCTCTGGAACATTAAGTGATAATTCAACATCATCCATGGAAAGTAAAATTCTGTTAATTTCAACCAGATAATCTGTGGGGAGAGGTGATGATCGAACTCCAGAAGCAAGTTGACCTGTTTTCCTTTGTTGAATGGGGAGTGCCTATAAAAACATTTTTTAAAAATATTGAATATGTCATAAAATATCCCCACAATGAATAAGTAATAATAACCTGAAAAAAAAATAGGACTACTGTGTGAAGGAATTCAATACCATGAACCAAACTCAAAAAACTTCATTTTAATTTTTTTTAATCTTAAACCTTGCTTTCTACAGAAACCCTTAACAATCTTTATTCAAATTTTCATCTGCAGCCTGCTGCTAAACAGCTTTAATATGTTAATATTTGAAAGGCTTTTCTTTAAGACCAATGTCATCTAAATTCATTTAGCACACAGGAAACAGCAACTCCTTTCCAAGTTGTTGAGGGAATGAGAATATGCTGCCAATCATAAAGATCTGTATGAAATCACACACTTTGATACCATTATTATTTCACTCTTTTTAAAATGTCACTATTAGATTAAACACTCTGGGCCTCACTGCTGAAAATATAAATAAATTAAACATGTTTCTGTGACATAAGAAATGCAATGAGGGCTTTGATTAAAATAATAACCAGGTAATTCAGTATATAATCTTAACCTTTGAGAACCTTATTGCAGAGCGTGAATATCCTACAGGAGACAATAGGTTCTAACATGCTAAATTCAGACAGACTTGAGGCTCCATGGACTCCTCATTTGCCCTAATATAGATTTTCAGGGTCCTCTACTCAGAGCTTTCTAAATAATAAGAAAGGACCAGGATGGACCACCAGTCTTTCAGGAGTTCAAGTCCTTCACTCCTAGATGCTACAACTGAATAAATGCTGTCTACTACTCGCAAAGGGCCAAAGAGCAGCTACTCAGAATTAAGACACCTTCCTTGACACTTTCATTTCTCCTATGTTGAACTTCTAAAAAATTATATTATCTCTAAATTCAAAGACGATGGTGAAAATGATCACAAAAACATGTTCATTCAGTTAAGGATCTTAAAAATGGTTATAATCCCTAAATGAAACCAAGACTCATGACTAAAATTCTTGAGCCAATAACATGGTGTTAAACCTAGAGGTCTGCATCTGTTGCCTCCTACAATTTATTAAATTACTGCTTTCATCAATTGATGGGCAGCCCTGCATAGCCAGATTAGAAGCAGGCCTGCAGATTTCCTGATTTTATCAACAGAATTAATTATACTTGTCTCTAATAGTAATTTTATTATCCTAATGCCACATATTCAAATTTTAGTCAGAAAGCATTTCTGGATATTTACCCGTATATCTAAGAAAGCAAATATAAGAGAATGCTAAAATAAATAATTTGTCCACCCAGGAACCAGTTTTGAATAAAAAGATGCTCAATATTTTTTAAAGGGAAAAAAAATCATTTCTTCAGCTTTTCATTTTCAAATAGGCCAATTTTTTTGGAAGATTGTTCCAATTGTTCCAATTGTTCCTCCTTTTAATTTTAAGGAAAAAGAAAATAACCCAGTGAAAGTATTTATAGGTTGAGTAATCATGTCAAAGAATAAAATACAAACTGAATACAAACTAAATACAAACTAAAATACAAAGAATAAAATACAAAATATTTCCCTGCTTGGCTTCCATCTACCAACCAGGATTTTGCTGGCAGGTCATATGTTTTTCCAAGACCAAAAAGGCTCCAGACATCCAACTACTTTTTTGTACTTGTAGGACATTTAACTTTGTAGTACTTTCTTCATTTAGCATCACTAGATACTACCTGTCAGATTAAATCTGACCTAGTGGATAATTGGTGGGAGCCACATGTATACCTTAGCAACTACTACAAGACCAGTATTCCTTGTGCTGCTTGGGCAGTTACGTAACAGACTGTCATTTTGCAAGGCCACATGTACCTGAGGCTTGAGGGTGAACTAGGAGGATCAATAGATACTATGAATATAATGTTCCAAGTTTTAAAAAAAATCACATTCGTTAACACTGTTTCACTGTCTACTCAGACTATAAAGACAATCCAAGATTTTTTTCTGAGGCATCATGTTCTTGCAGTAGCAGAAAAGCAGTTCAAGATTTAAACATGTGCTTTCTAAATTCCCAAAGTAGATTTTTGTCCCCAAGAGAGTAATCAATCAAAATACTCTATGAGGAAAAAAAAATGTCCTAGAGATCTGCCCCAGGCTTTACTTCTGGATAATTATATTTTTAAAGAATTCTCCTAGGACACAGAAACGCAAATACACTATAGGTCAGTACTGAGTTGAGATAATGTTACATGATGTAGCTCATCTCAAAACAACAAACTAAGGTTCAGACAAATAGTTTATTTTAAATAAGTAATTTATAAAAATTTTCTAAGTTTTGTTATTATCAAACCATAGGAAAAACATGGCTCTAAACAGAATCAAGGATGGCTAAACAAAAATTTTAAATGGCTGCTTGTTAAAGGTAAAATAATTAGAAGATAAATTAGGGATTAATATCTTAATTTTTTTTTTTTAAGAGACAGGGTCTTGCTCTGTGGCTCACTATAAACTCAAATTCCTGAACTCAAGGGATTCTTCTCCCTCAGCTTCCCAAGTAGACAGGACTACAGGTGCGTACCACCAGGCCTGGCAATTTTTTTTTTTTTTTTAGAAACAGGGTCTCGCTATGTTGCCCAGGCTGGTCTTGAACTCCTGGCAATCCTCCCACGTAGGCCTCCCAAACTGCTGGGATTACAGGTATGAGCCACCATGTCCAGCCAATATCTTTTTTTTATAAAGAGTTCACACATATTTATAAACTGTAATATTCTATTCAACAAATGGGAAAAGGTCACTTAACACATATTCCAAATAAGAAAATGAGCTCTGTAAACTGGTTTCCAATCCTAACTGCACATTAGAATCATCTTGAAAGATTTTTGGGGTTTTTTAAATTTATTTGTCTGTTTGTTTGTTTTAATGTCCACACTTAGATCCGACCTGAGAGATTCCGATTTAATCCATTTGGGGGTTAGATTTGGGCATTGTTATTTTTTTTTAAAAAAAGCTCCACAAGTGACTATAATGTTCACAGCTAAAAACAATATCAGCTCGAAAAAGTACTTATTATATTTGGCCTATTGAAGTAGGACAAAGATATTTTAATTATAATAACTAATGCTAGCAAAACAAAATGACATGAGCCTATAATAGTACAGATTAGTACTTTTAAAAAATATATATATTTTATGTATGAAAAATCAAAAAATTATTTCTATTAGGTACCAGTAATAATTTCTGATTTGGGACCCAAAGATGAATAAGATATGGACTGAATCCTGGAAAAAGCACTAGGGCAAAAAGAGACTTTAGAAAGTAGCAATAAAGCAAAAAACTATAACGTGATCTGATAGATGTCAGAAATAAAAATGGAGCTGAGTCTTAAAATATAGTGTATTTTTCAGGTAAAATAAAAAGATAAACCCCACTCTGGGGTAAGGGGATAAAATCAGCAAGATCCCAGAGGTGTCAGGGCATGTGATGTACTCAAGGAAATGTACAGAAACTCAGCATAGCTATAGTACATGGGAGATGACAACAAATCAAAGAAGTGGCCAGGGTCAGACTGAACCCTTGGTATGTCATTATATTGACAAACTTTGCACTTACAGCTCTTTCTGGTTTTTTGTGTTTTTTTTTTTTTCAATATTTTCCTGCACAGATTTTTAGGTGAAGGAATGACATGAGGAGTCACGACTTTGGGGGTAATCATTCAGAGAAAGATACGGAGGGGGCATGCTAGAGTAAGAAAAACTGGACGTACGAAAAGCAGTTTGGGACATGGTATAATAACTCATGACAGGAAACTGTTAAGTTTGAAATAAAGAAAGGAGAGTGAACTAAGAGAAGTTAGGTCACCTTCCCACGGTCATAAAACAAGCAACTGGTAGAGCTGTATCTAACTTCGGGTGAGACCTGTATCTTGCTCCACTCAGACCCAATGGTTTTAATCCCTACTCGATGTGGTATGAGGAACAAGAAAGGGGAGGAAAAAGTAGTTGAAAACGATGCTGAGGTTTCTACTTTGAGAGAATGGCCATCTTTTAAAGTTTAGTCACGCATCACTTAACGATGGGGACACGTTGTGAGAACTTCGCCTTTTGGCAATTTTGTTGTTGTGAGAACATAATAGAGATTTGTGTAGATCATACACAAATCTAGATGGAACAGCTTCCTACACACCTCAGCTACACAGTACGGCCTATCGTTGCTAGGCTACAAACCTGTATAGCACGTTACTGAACTGAATACTGTATGCAACTGTAACACAGTGGTCAATATTTGTGTATCTAAACATATCTAAACATAGAAGAGACATGGTAAATATATGGCATTATGATCTCATGGGAAAACCATTGTATGTGCAGTCTGCTGTTGACTCAGATGTTGTTATGCAGCTCATGACTGCAATTAACTAAGAGAGGGAATGAAGTAAGAAACACAGGTAGGAGGGAGACAGCAAGTTCAGGTGAGAACCTATCACAAGGCTGAAGTACATAGAGACATCCAATGGGTAGCAAGCCAAGAGACTAGAATCTACTCAGTTTCTAAAATCACCAAATAAAACTGGCTCTAGAAGGAATTATCAAAGAACAGACCCCTGGTGAACACCAGCACACTTAAAATACAGCTGGAAAGATTGCCATTTAAAAGGAAGCAGGTAGTAAGACTTTTTCTAGAAAAAGTTTAACATAATGTAAGACTTTCATAAATTTACTTATTTGTAAACTAGAAATATTTTTGATGTGGCAAAGACCTCCCCATATAGAATACAGAATTGAAGAAGGAAGTTACTTCTGAAAGGGATAGATCTCTTTTAGGTTTAACATATAATCAGAAATCTAAAAGAGTCAATAAGGTTTTATGTTTCTATTTTCTTTGAGTCCCTGCTCCATCCGAAAATATAAACATATCTAGTAATACACACTATAAAAGAGGAGATAATATTCCAACTGGTTTGTTTTGAAGTGTCCATGATGCAACAACACACATTTGAATGGCAAGGGCTGAGTAAGTTATTTAAATGCAACAGAGTCTCTCCCATTATAATACCTTGATTTTGTTGTATCTTGTATGCAAAAGTAATAACTGCAAGCGGATCTTTTCTTTTTTATTATCCTCCATAGGTTGATGTAACATTTGTTCTCCTCTTTGTAGAACTTCCTCAATCTGGGCTCTCTCCTCATCCATCTGAATGTTTGAAAGGGAAAAAAATTTACTCAAAAGAAAAATGCAGTGTCACTATCAGTTCCCAAGTAGGAGAACTAACCTATGAAGTTCTGAATGATCAAAAAAATTGTTTTTCTTAAAATGCTTTATATTTGAGGTTAAAATATCTCAAAGCAAGTTTAACAGACGTTAGATAATACTAAAGATTACTTTTAGTCAGAAAGCGTGTCTACTTTTTCTTAATTATTACATAAAACACTTGGCCAATCTTACATTGATACACATCAGAAAGTCACATTTGGATCTCTTTCATTATGTTTGTCAGATTATTATGGGTAAATATTATTGACGTAAAAATATAATTAAGAGAGAAGAAAAATGAGAACACCACAGTATTGAAAATCTCCTTGAACCAACCTTTTCATCTTCATCGCTGGATTCCAAGTGTTTTTCCACAACTTTTAACATATTTTCTATGTCATTTTCTAATTTTTCCAACTCAGAGAAAGGCATACCAGCTTCAAATGTTTCGGTGGTGACCAAACGTTGGTATGATAATGGTTCCTGATCTATTAGCAACTGTAGAAGGAAAAGAGTTTCCTGAAAATATATTTCCATCATTGACCAGAGGGATGAGGTGTCAAGAGAGGAACTAGCATTTATTCTAACTGCCTTTAGTTTCATTCTTTCACATAGCAATGATTTTACCAATTTGAGCTTCTCTGAATTGTCCATTTTCTCCAAACTCTGGCCAGGGCTATGAGGTGGCGTGTAATTGACTGTGGCTGCCTGGAATGCTATGCAGGGGATTCAGAGACCACATGTATAGTAGGAAATACGGCCTCAATTCAGAAGCCATCCCGCCATGGCCACAGAAAGGATCCAGCCACAAAAAGGAAGAAGGGCCACCCAGCCCCCAATGCAGGGCCAGCCCACAGAATCTCTCTCTCCATTTAAGTTTCCCCCATAGAATTCCCCTTGGATTTTGATACTCAAAACTTCAAAGAAGTACCTATTTCTCAGTGCCATATTTTCACATAATGTCTACATAGAAAAACTTCATATTTATATGACTAAAAACATGACAATTATAATAAAACTAAAGGCAGCAAAATAATACCAGTGTTGTCTAAGTGTGGAGAAACTAGCACTCTCACACTCTGATTATGGAAGTATAAATTGGCACAAACTTCCTATTGGGTTATTTGGAAAAACTATTTAATAGCCTTTATATATACAACTTTTCCAATGATTTCAAAGAATTCTAAGAATTGAATTTAAAGGCATATTAAGAGATGGTCAAAAAGATATGCATAAAAGGATTTTTAACAAATACAATATTTATAAAAGCACAATAAAGTAAAAAAAAAATTAACAGGCATTCGTAACAGATCATATACTAAAATATTCTACAACCATTAAAAATCATGTCAAAGAAGAAGATATAAAACAACATAAAAATGTTGTATTTTAATATCATGTACATATGAATAAGAATAGACATGTATTCCAAAATGTTTACGGAGGTTATTGATGGAGACGATGGTAATTTTGTTTCTTAGTAATTCCTCGCACAGTATGTCTAAATTTTGTGTGTTTTTTTAACACCCAGAAAAAAAAATCTCCCATAGAACTATGGAAAAGGATAAAATGAGCCAAGGTTAGAAGGCTAGGAGGTAAGGTCACGGTTAAGACAGGCAAAAGCTAAAGCAAGATTATCATTTGTTTTCTTGAAGTTGAGAATTACCTAAGTATACTCCTAGGTTATATGAAAGATAATTTGGCCTACTATATCAGATATTTCAAATCAAAGCAGTTTACGTAATATTTACTTCCTGCAAAAAGAGGATTTTTCTTTTTTGAAAGTTTCAACACTCAACTCTCTAGAGATTGAATTAACTGAGTCCTCAAAAAATGCCATCCTACAGGCACAATTGAGATCCTTAAAAACTCAGAATTACATGTCAGAATGAATACCCGCTTTGAATGACCCCAAAGTCAGCTATGGCTTTTTGTCCATAAAACCATCAAAATGTTTTCATCTTTTCATCTTAACATTTACCGAGCACCCACTACATCCCAGGTCTTAAGAACACTACAATAAGAATTTTCCTTTCCTCCCCTTATAAAACAAGGGTAAAAAGAGAGAATGAGAAAGACACACATAGACAGAGAGAAATATTATATACCATGGTAATATAATAAACACTATTTAAAGGAAAGCTCTTATTTATTATCCTCTTAATTAAATGTATAAAGCTCCTTTTTAAACTTATAAATCAGGTAGTACCTTTCTACATTATGTCTGAAATGTCAAATTATCTGTAACTTTTAGATTTGTCAGCATATAAAACACACAAAAAAAAGTTCATAGTGTGTGTAGTGTGAACACATATATAAAGTATGACTATAAAATACTGGATTTAATATTCATGCCTAGCTTTGCAATTAGTCTCATTATTTCACAACCAATTCTAACCTTCAATTGAGTCTTTAAAACCTTTTCTAAAATGTGTTATTTTTTTTCGATACTAATTTCTTGTTTTCTCTCCTGTGAAATATGCACAATCACAGATAAATAAGGACAAATGCTTCATTCAAAGAAATAGTGACTAAAATCATCTTAATTTAAAAATTTTTTGATGCATATACCATATAATATCTATCATTTAGATTCATACTCATAGGAAAAATGGTTTTCTATAAAAATATAATAACTCACTTTGGCACTTTTGATATGTTGAGACACCTTGTCAAAGTTCCTATTCAGTTCGGCTAATTTTGGTTCTACAAGCTCCCTGCTTGAGCTTCCACGGGCAGTCATCAAAATAATGGCTTGATCACGGACATTCTCGACCTGGAGGCTGGCATCATCCAGCTCAGATATTAAACGCTAATTGGAAGAAAACACAAAATTATCTCATGAGAAAAACTGAAACCAAACATGGGTGTATGCTTACTCAGAACTAAAGGTAGCTTAAACAAATATCTGAAATTTACAGTGAAAGATTTCGGCACAATTAATCAGAAGAAAGAGCTGTTCGCACAAAACTCAACAACGTTCTCAGTTTCCCCTACGAAAATAAATGTTAATGAATCCAGTGCATGAGAAGTAAATTGTAGAGCATTCCACAAGAGAAAACATGACAACAAACGTGCCCCTCTCTAACACTAAAAGTGTTAGTAATTCTTCTGTTTGCTACCTTCACAATTTCTTCCCGTTTACTTGCTGGTTTTTTTTCAATTTCATCCAATAGAGCTTCAGCTTGATAAAGCCAGGTACTTATGTGAGCCACATTTCCATCAAATATTTCCAACTGGTTCCGATGGTTCTACAAAGGAATTGATAAAATTTTCACATAATCACATGAAATATTTAAGACGATAATCTTAGAAGAGATTTAAAAGACCTTCAAAGAGCAAATTGTATGCTAAATTTAAAGAAAGGTTTCCACCTTTCTGCAGAGCTCTTCTTCAGTGAATAAATCTCATTCCTAAAAATGCACAGCTGTGGTTAAGTACTTTTTTAAATTTATTTGATTTAGACCTCAGCACAATAAAAAGCTGAAGTAGAATAAAAAGAAAAAGTTTCTTTTTCAATTGCATTTCAAGTTTATCCCTTATTCTTCATTCTTACGTAACAACTGATCTCAATTGTCCCCTTCATTAGTACTTTAAGGAAGTAATAATATTTAAAAAATGTTGAAAGTATGGGTTGAATAAGAATCTGCACGCTCTGCTTAGAGGACAAAGTCTGCATCTCTTCACATCAGTGAAGCACTTAATATTATACCTGGCATATTATTCCCAGCACTTAATATTATACCTGGCATAGCCTTCAGTAAGATTTCCTAAAGTAGGACATAAAATGTGCTCAACAGAATAGATTTGAAAACAGCAGCAACAGTTAAGCAGATTATGAACTGGGCAAAGTTGCTGAGATTAAATCAAGAAGTTAGAAGTTGACCCAAAAGGGTAGGAGAGCTTATGATGAAATTAATATTCAGGGACTATATTTTATAAGATAAAGGAAACTAGGAAAAACTTAGAAGAAAGAAGTTTTAAAAAAGGACGCACATTATTAATCTATAATGTGGACAAACAGTTGAAAGAAGAAAACGTGAACTAATAAATGATATGAAAAAATTTTCAACAGTAATCTTAGTTCTAAGTAGGAAGAACTGACATGCACTCAACTTATTTACTCTCTCAAGCAGGTAAATCCAATGTTCTAATAGGACTAGAAAGATACTGCTTGAAAGGAGAATTTGAAAGGTAGTCTGAAGAATACAAAAGTAAGGGTCATAAGAATGTAAAATAAAGCTAGTAATAGCAAAAATGAATATATAAAATATTTAACAACTCATTCTGTAAGCCAAGAATCTCAAATTCATTATTATATTCAAAATTTAGCTCTGTTACATATATACTTTTATTCTCATTTTTTATATATGGCTATTGAAGCCTAGTACTACTAAATAATTTAGCTAAGGTTATACAGATAGTAAGTCATGGACAGTGGTTATAAATCTATGACAGATGAAGACCTAAGCCCATGATCTTCACTGCCTTACACATCCTGATGGATTTGAACAAATGCTCAAACACACCATAATTTATTTTTTCTGTCTATCCATCACCTAGTAATTCTATGAATTTGATAAAAGTCCTATCTTAGGTCTATCAAAATAAAAAAAAATTGTAAATGACAATTCCCTCCACAGCAAGGGAGGGTGGGATTGCCATATATTTATTATTAGCATAAGAAGAACAGAAAACCACCATAAAAATGAAATGGTCAATATTTTCATGAGATAATTAACAGAGTGATGGTATAACCAAAGACTAACATACATATACTATTTAATGATTATCATAATCAAAATAATATCTAAAGTTGTTTTACATATAGCTATTTAAGTGCACTACATGTTTTCAGTCACAAAATCATCACAAAAACTGTATAAGTCAAAATTATTAAAAATCCCCATTTACAGATAAGAAAACTGAGGCTTAGAAAGTGTTTCAGTAACTTGACCAATGTCACCCAACTAGTAGTCAAACTTTTTACACAGGCCATCAGATGCTACAAACTGTGCTCTTCCCTAGTACACCACTCTTAAACATTATAAAGGTTATATATAAAAACAGCCCATGACAGTATGAAAATTAAATACAATATGAAATCATTACCAAGAAACAAATGAGGTACATTTACCAAAATATTAAAGTACATATTTCTACGTATAACATGAATATTTTACTCTTTAAGAGGAACACTGTAAACTCTTTCTAGTTGTTGCCTTTTCAAAGAAAAAATAAAATGCAGTCTAATGAAATGAATTCAAAAGTAGAATATGAAATGACTGTGACACATAAGAAACAGGCTTTGAAATGTAATCAAAGCTATATTCATTTTATAGTAATTAGAGAAGAGGAGACTACTGCATCGCCCAATTTTTCTGGAAACGTACCATCAAGGTATTGCACCAATCCTCAGTCCAGGTGCGAACGCGGCTCCAGCCAGCGTTAAGGACACAGAGCCTCTCCTCTAGGATAGGCTCGCTGCCCTCAATCAAGTTCTGCAGGGCAGCACTACTTTCTGTGATGGTATTCAAATCAGCTTTTCTCTTTTCCAGATCCTTCAGAATGTTCTAGAAAATAAAAATACCAAAACCCGCTTGATCTTTCATAACATTGTAAAAATTTACATAACCTTAAATTTTTAAAACCTTTCCTTCCTTATGTACACAGTAGTCCATGGCTCCCTAGATAATTTATAATATGCCAAAGGTTTACAAAACTCCCAAACTTACTAACATGGTGAACGTTCTTAATTAAAATGTTTTATTAAGCTAAGATAATGAAGGTAACAAACTCAGGTGTGGAAAAGCAATTATTTCATTTATTTTAACCATAAATTCTATTTATTAAATATAAACACAAACACCAATTATCTTCATTGTAACTCTAGATGTAAAGAATCAATTTCATTTTCAGTAACTATTAATACAAGCTGGCAAAGCAGAAGGATCCTGGAACTCACAATTCTAAGAAATTCCTAATTTGTGCATTGAAAATAGTTTTACATCTTTTTTAAGTGCAACTACATTAAAATGTTGTGAAATATGCATGTTTCTTAAATCTAAAAACAATGTTGAAAAGATGGTGATTATGTTACATACTGATGTTTCATTTGATTTACTCTAATGAATAGAATGTGCTGAGAATTCCTAATTTGTGTATACCACCTTCACTATTTCAAATCTGAAATAAGATTAAATGGAAAAATTTAAGAGAGTATTGTTCCAAAAGAGGCAAACTTATCATTATTTTCAAATTTTAACTAAAAAACTATTAGATTCAACTGAAAAAAAAAATAATTGAACTTATGAATACAAGAAGATATCAGTTTAAAAATCAAATATATAAAAATCAATACTACTGATGTACCCACTATAAGCATTTAGTAAAAAGAGAAAACCATACTTTTGTACAGCAATAAAAATAAAATAAGTATGTTGGACAAAACTTCTTCACCCATATATAATGTTTGTGAAGAAAAGAATCAAAACCTGATGTAGAGACATGAAAGAATTTGGAGGAAAATGAGACACAACATATTACTAAAAGACCTAATATTACAAAGATGGGTCAATTCTTTGCCAAACAAATCTATAAATTTAAGGCAATTCAAATCAAAATTTCCAACAGAATTTCTCTTAAGAATATGAGAATAACAATTCTAAAGTTCTTATGTGAGTATATACCAAAAAAGAAGTATAAAGACAAGGAACCCGTTAGCTACAGTTAAAATATATTACAAAAAATAAACAGTGGAAGAACTGGTACATTTTAGAGGGTCCAATCAGTAGAACAGAAAACATGGAAAAGCAATAGGCAAATAAGAATACATGAATCTGGTGAATGGATTAAAAAAATGTAGTATACATATACCGTGAAGTACTACTCAGCTACATAAAGGAATGAAATAATGTCTTTTGCAGCAACTTGCAGAAAACTGGAGACCATCATCCTAAGTGAAGTATCTCAGGAATGCAAAAGTAAACACCACGTGTACTCTCTAATAATGGGGAGCTAACTGATGGGCACACATGGGCACAAAGAGATGTGCAGGTCACTGGAAATCAAGAAAGGGGGAAGGCAAAGGAAAGGGAGCATGAAAACATACCCATAGGGTACCATGAACACTGTTCACGTGCTGGGGACACTAAAAGCCCCGACTTAAGCATCATAAAAGGTATCCATGGTAACAAAAACATTTGTACCCCCTTAATATTTTGAAATAGAGAGAAATATGAATTTGACATGTCAAATCAGTGGCGATTAATATTAATTACTCAATAAATAGTGCTGAAATAACTGGTTAATTATTTGGAAAGGTTAAAACTCTTCCTCATGGAATACACCAAAATAAATTCCAGAAAGATTAAAGCATTAAAGGTAAAAAGATAAAACAATAAAGGAACTAGAAAAAATATATAAATAAATGATTACATAATTTTGGAGTAAAGTTGGCCTGTCTAAGCACTAAAGGCAGAAATAATACAGAAAAAAATGGATTTTGTTTTTTAAAAAACATATAACAGTTGGTTTTTTCGAAAAAAAAAAAAAAACTAAACTAAAAAAAGAAAAGAAACTACAGTGGCAAAAGGAATTCTTTTGTAATCATACACAACACACTAAGTATTAATAAGCAGAAAAGATAAAGAGCTATAAATTAAAAGACCAATTGGTGACAGAAAAATGTTCAGAATTACAGAAAAAAATAAAATTTTAAAAACAGGTACAAATGATTTATAAACTTATGGAAAATATTCTAGTTAAATAACCAAAATATGATGTTTGCCTACTGTTATCAAGGGTGTGGGGTTAAAACAAGTAAGTAGAAATTCTCATTCGCAGATGGTTAAGTACATACAGCATTTCTGAAGGATATACATATCCTTTAAAATGGATACATCATTTGACCAAATAATTTTAGGGCCAAGAATTCATCCTCAGGAAATAACTATGATGTATGCTATGATTTAGTTACAAGTATATTCATGACAGTATTATATACAATAGTGAAAATTGGTAATCATTTAGATGGACATAAATTGAGGAATGAGACAACAGATATAAAATAAGAATGAGACACTATGCCTATCTCTAATATGTTATGCAAAAACGCTTACGGGTAAAGGAAAATGTTGAAGCTTTTTAAAGAAGGTCATAAACCACTAGATACAACGTAATTATTTTTTAAATATATGCTGTACCCATGCACATCCATACATGCCTGAAAAAAATTGACAAGATAACAGGCTATTCTTTGATTATAGGTGATTTTTGCTCCCGTCTTTCGTTGTATTACAAGACACGAATTTCATTTAATCAGCTTATACGACTTACCTTACTAATAAGAAAATAATGGTTTCCAAAGTATACTGTACAAAGAAAATAATTTTTTCTTGAAAAACTTAAGTTTAACAAAAATAAAGTTTGTGCCTTTGTTTTGCATTCACCTAAATACACCAATGACTTGCAACATTCTTCATTTCCCTCAAACATCTTTTTCTTCATCTTCTTCTTACTCATACAGCTCAATGGCTTGATCACACTTGTCATGAGCTATTTTCTAAACTGAGAACATTCTTTCCAGGGCCTAATATCTCAGCTTTCTCTCAGTTGTCATCTCCACAGAGCATGCAAAGTAGGCAGAAGTTGCATCACCCCACGACTTCTAAGCACCTTCTCTTACAGGCCCACGGCAAATATCTGTAGAGGATGTCAAAACTGATACTCGCGGCTTTATATGAATATCTGTCACAGTATTGATCAATTATTTTCCACACTTCTCTCTAGCATACTTGCTTCTTCCTTAGGAAATAAATTTAGGAAAACAGAATTGCCTTGGTAAAAGAAGTACTCTGTGTTCCATCCAATTCCTTTTCTACCTCAGAAGAGAGAATTGGCAAATCAACTCTGTACTCTCTGTGATTTCAAATAGAGCTAAAGAAAACTCTTAGGCCAGGCACAGTGGCTCATGCCTGTAACCCTGGCATTTTAGGAGGCCGAGGCAGGAGGATTGCTTGAGGTCAGGAGTTCGAGACCAGCCTGAGCAAGAGTGAGACGCGGTCTCAACAGAAAAAATAGAAAAATTAGCCAGGCATGATAGTGCACACCTATAGTTCCAGCTACTCAGGATGATGAGGCAGAAGGATTGCTTGACCCCAGGAGCTGGAGGTTGTAGCAAGCTATGATGATGCCTCTGTATCCCAGCTGAGGCAACAAAAGGAGACCCAGTCTCAAACACACACACACACACAAAAAGAAAACTCTTGTATTGATTTTTCTTGTTCTGTTCTTGTGTTCTTTACATCTGTTCATCTGCAGTAGAAAGATTAGTTATTGGTGAAAAAAGAAAAAGTTATTAAAGAAGAATTAAATTCAGCACAATACTTTGTAAACATTTTTGAATACTCAAAAAACACCATCAATTTTGCAAGTGTTTAATTATAATGTTTTCAAGTACCACATGAGCATAATGACTACAAAGGCCTTCAGGATCCATATGAGTTTAATGCTTTTGGAATCAGGATAAAAGCATATTATCAAAATAGTTGTTTTAGAAATACTCTTGTTAGGACAGAGAAGAGGAAAAAATAATGGAAAAAAAGAACAGGCTGTATTTAATATGAAATGGAGGAAACAGTATCCGCCCAGATTGCTCTGAAGCAATGCCACAGGTGACACTGGCATAATATTGGTGATTCGTCTGAACTGCAACTTACTTTGGCCCAGGAAATTTCTGTGTCCAGGTCACCAAGCAGACCTTCTGCAGTGGACTTCTGCACCAATTCAGTTTCAGTAGCAGAAAGCCATTCCGAGAGAGAAGTAGCCTCTTTCTTCATTTTCCGGGCCAACTGTGATGCTCTTTCCAGATCCTGTTTTCCTTCTGTCACCTGAAAAGGAGACAGGCAGGGAGACAGAGGTTGAGATTAGGAAAGGAATGAACATAAATAGGAAGAAATCAGAATATTAACTGAAAATCCAAACTGATTCATAGTTAACCCCCACACATCACCTTTATCTCTAACACCTTAAATCCCTCCAAACTTGGGTTTCTGCAAGGAGACAACATACTGTAGTGGCAAAGTGTCAATCTGGGTTTTCATCTTAGCTCCACATCTTACTTCCTAAGTGACACTGGTTGATGGATATATGAGCAGTGACTGAGAGGAGCAAACATACACAGGTCTTGTCCCAGTCATTGGAACAAAGTTCAAAAATCAATATTTAGTATCAATTATAATTTTGAAGAGGAGATATCTTAGAATCCTTTCCATGAAGGACTCTGTTCAAAAAGTACATACACACTGTATCACAGGAATTTGAGGGGAAAATAGCACTATTTTCACAATTATATATTTGAAAATTAATCAAATAACTTAAAATACAGTACATGACTATGCAACTTTAAACTTATTATTATTTTGTTCTTACTGTTGCTGACAGAAAGCAAAATGAACAGAACTAACATTTACCAAGCTCTTAAAACAGCTTTCTGCATTGTGTTAAGGAACCTTACATGTTATGCAATTCCACAAAAGCTTCTTCCTACTTTACAGATAAGGAAAACGAAGCTCAGAGAGACTAAGGTTGAAACCAGGGTGGCAAAGCCATCAGATTGACCCAGTCTGACCCTTTGCATTACATAATGATGCTCTCAAACCAAGAACAACCATTCACAATGTACAGCTGAGATAACGCTTTAAAGGCTATCATAAAACATACATAAGTTCTTAATTCTATGTGCACATATGTACAGACAATAACATCTAAGTAGGAGAGTGACAAGTCATATATGAGATGAAATTTCCTTAGATGATATAAAATGATATAAAGACTGAATTTTGTTAATAAGTAACATGAGATAACATTTCTCTTTTCTTGTCCCCTGTGTTCAATTTCACTCTTTCATAGTTAGAAGATTGATTATTATTAAATTCCTTCTTAAAAGTGTAATTTTTTTCCCCACAGAGTTTAATTAAAATGCATGGCTCTAAATTAATGGCACCTCAATGCCGACTTTAGGATACAAATACTTGAATTATATTAGAGGGTATTATATATTCAAATGATACTTATCTGACTTTGACATGCCAGGCAGCTACACAATCATCGTAAAACTTAATGCCACTAAAGATTTGTACATAAACAGGAAGAAAATAATTTACAGTCCTACCCAAAAACAATTTACACTTTCCTCAATCTGATCAATACATTTTAAGATGTACTGTATATTGAATTAGGACTTACCAAGTTGTAAATCCTTTATGAAACCATTGATCCCTCCTCCCTCTTAGATATTCAACCACTTCCTTCTCAACAAGATCATTCCCACCAGCTATCAAACACTCGATTCTCTCACACTCAAAAACATTCTCTTCTTTGGCCTCAGCTCCCCTAATGACTTTCCTCTCTCCACCTTCCCCACGCAGACCCTCAACACTACATTCTTATAGTGTTGTTTCCTTGTCCCACACAGACCTCACACCCTGATGCTCTAGCTTCTACTGCTTCACTCCACAGAAATCGCTGTTGCTGATTTTGGTAATAACCCCAATGGCAACAGATCTAATAGACATTTTTATGTGGACATCATATTTAACTTTCAATAATATTCAAAACAGCTGACCACACTCATTCTCCAAATAGCATCTTCCCTTGGCTTCCCCAGTGTGCCTACCACTTCTTGCTACTTATTTCAGTTTCCTTTGCAAGATCATCTCCCTCAAATTTCATGCTTAATGACGTAATTCCTGAGACTTGGGCCAGGGCCCTCTTCTTTTTCACTATATCCTGTCCCTAAGCAATCTATCATCCCTGCAAATGTTAATTATTGCCTCTATGCAGATGACTCATAAAATCCATCTTTGCAGCCCAGATATATCCCCCAGGCCTGAATAGCCACGTGAGTATCTGACATCGCCGATTAACATTCTCAAAAGCACCTAAAATATCGATATAGCAAATACATGCTTGTGGTTTCTGCAAGTCCTTCGAGCACCTTCCCCTTCAGCACCCCGTCCCGATGATGGCACCACCCACATTATGAAACAGAAACCCAGGAGTCTTCCTTGGTCTCTTCCTCTCCTGTGCCCCTCTATCTAATCCATCACCAAGTCCTATTGATTTCACTTCCTACATATGTCTGAAATCAATCCTTCAATTCCATCTCCACTGCTCAAGCCGCCACCATCTGTCACCAGGAGTATAACAGTGACTTCCTAACTGTTCTCCCACATCCTCTCCTGCCTCTCTCCAATTTATCTTCCAAATGGCAGCGAGTGATCTTCTAATAAACATATCTGAGCATGTTATTTCCCTACTAGACACTTTGCAAAAACTGATTGTTGCTTTTGAGACGGAGATTAAAATCTTTAACACAAACTCTATGACACTGGAAGGGTCTGGTGTCATCTCCCCAACACCATCTTCCTCACACTAGCTCTCTCTGCTCTAGCCACACAAACGTACCATGCTGCCTCCTGCCACAGGACCTTTACACATGCTATTCCAACAGTCGCATAAGTTCTTCCTCTGGTTTCACCCAGGTTACTCTTCCCATCCTTCAGATTTCAACTTATGCATCACTTCCCCAGGGAAGCTTTCTTAACCCAAGACACAGCCAAATCTCCCTTTACCTATACTCTTAAAGCACCATGTACATTCCTTTATAACACTTCAGACTGATAATCTGACATTACTTTGTATGACTCCTTGATAAATGTTTTCCACTTTCTGAAGTTCCATTAGACAGTATCCCTACTGCCTATATAACTCCTGAGACTTTAAATGAGAAAGTAAATTAATGCTAAAATCATAGCCACAATAAGATTAGTGCAAAAACAAGCACTAGCATTCCCATCCACAAAATGCCTGGTGAGTGAATAAATATAATAATATTGAACAAATAACTTGAGCTGTATAATACCAAAAAGAAGCCCGAAGAGCTGTGCTCCAGGTGGGCAATCCATCAAGGTATAACACGCCAACAACCTAATCTTGAAGAAGTGAGGTCAAAATTGCCTAAAAAAAGTATGGACTAGTCGTTCTTATTGATTTTAAATTGATAACAAAATTTCAGCTATTTTTCTCTGGGCTTATGTAGAAATTTCAATCTTACTTCACTAGAAGTAGCTAATATTTAATAACTGGAGAAGGATCCAAAGCACTGTCTAAAGCACTGTCTAAAATTCAATATTGCCAAGGAAGTTTCACTTCTACATATTCTTTTGTTCTGCTGGTTTCAGGGCAAAGATTCTAAATGAGAGAAGACATTAAGCCTGCTGGACCCAGTCACTCACCATAAATGGCCCAACGTACCACCTGCATGGATTCACTAAAACACCCAAATTAGAGATGTTTCTCAGGAGGATTTTAAATCCTAGTAGATTAACAAGAACTTACTGTCACTTATCATTGACTAGAGCCCTGATGTTTTCACATTTCTCAGGAAACCATTCGATTCAGAAGTCCAAGGACCAATAACATAAGTTTATACAGGGACTATTATTTGTAGAGTCTCCTTGGAAAAACTTATAGAACATCAGTAGCCATTGAAAGTATAAACAGTAAACTGGATTAAATATTAAAAATAAATTACTATATAATTATTAATCATTATAATACTAGCATTTACATTTAAAGAAATAGAAAAATTGTTGCAATAAACTGAAAACATACGTGGATGCCATAAATTTCAAGCATGCAATTTCGGAGAAGCGAAGGGAAATTTTGAAATCCATGAGTGAGAGAGAGAGAGGGAGAGAGAGAGAAAGGGGAAGAGAGGCAGAGGTGGGCTGTGGGCCGCGCTCCTCACCTGTGCTCCCAGGTCATTGTAAAGGACCTTCAGGGATGTTAGCTGCTCATCCATCTCTTTAGGGTTGTCAGTTTGCTGCTTCTGGACAATGTGCCTTCCTGTTTTGATTACAGTTTCGACTTCAAGTTTGACTTCACTCAGAGTTTTGTACAGTTTCTTTTAAAACAACAACAACAAGACAGATTACACATTGTAATGAACACGTGCCAACTGGAATCCTTTCAGAACACAGCTCACACAGATTGACAGCTAAGACCTAACCATGGAGATCAAAGGCATCATCCTTCTCAGATTTGGTTCAAAGATCAAGTCAAATGAAATCAAAGTTGCAGTAACTTTTTGTCATCAGACAAGAAAATAATACTAATAGAGTTTTTATGCCTGTTTTTTAAAAAAATTAGACATGTGTTTTAAATGTTTGTGAAAGTACCTGATAACATAAATATGTTTCCTACATAAAATGGGAAAATATCAGCACTAAAAATTGAATGTCTATCATGTTTAAAATTACATTTTAAAAAAATCCTCCAATGCCATGACTAGAAAAAAGTCCAGGCTGGCTGCTGCTGGTTGTTGAAATTTGGAATTAGTAACATTTTTTTTTCCTTTATTTTCTTTGAAGTACCAAGTCTACAACAATGAACATGCATCACTTATATAATGAAAATATGTATAATATTCAATATATCAAGATGTATATGACTATTAAGAAGTTGGAGTTCTGTACATCAAATTCAGAGCTATCCTAATCCTAGTTATTTTGAAACCAAAACGCTTTACTCTCTTGACTCCATACATCATCATCTTAACCTGAAAACCTCTCATCGGACACTGTCACCACTGAACTAAATTCCATGAAGTCAAGGATTTGTTCTATGAAGTCAGTATTTGTTTTGGTTGCCACTATATCACAATAAGCAAATAAATGCTTACACATATGCACATATATGTTAAAATGTATTCTATCTGTACATTCTTCCATCCATGTAAGAAACAGACATGTGGAGACTGCAGTTTTGAAAACCACAAAGAACTCTTCCCAGACTTCTCTTGTCCTAACCAGTCTATCTTAAGTTTCTTCATAATTCTCTAGCAGAACACCAATTCTAAGATTGTATCCTCTTAGCGACATTACTTTTAAATTTCTATTCAATTTAATTATAAAGTTCAAGACTAAAAAAGTAATAAGGCTTTATATTAAATATATCATTTCTTATTTCCCATCTTAGGTTTAAGCTTCTCTTTAAACTTGTATTTTCCTAGAAAATTAATTTTTATGCTATAATATTCCTGACATCCACTCTAAGGATAATTTTTTCTTTCGTATCCTAGGCTTCAACTTTATGAATTAAAAGTTAAAATTTTACTTTCTTTGAAAATGATTTTTTTTAATGTGGTAATATTGTGACATCCATTCTAAGTATGGTTCTTCTAGCTAACTCAAATTTATCCTTGAAAACTTAGCTTATTAGTCACAGTCTGCTAAAGCCTTCTGTAACTTGATTAAGATATGTTTCTTTTGGTTTTTTGCCATGTTATATATACATCTATTGGAGTTCCCTTTATCTCATTACACTGTAATAATTGATTTTACTCTCTCCTAGCTGTCTCTCTTATCCCTTCTACTTTCCTTGGGGGCAGAGATCACATTTCTTATTTTTCAACATGTTTTCCCATCGTCAGTCCCTCTGTTTAGCGCACTCTAGGCTAAAGATGGTTGAACACAGTAGGTAAGTGCTAGGCTAAGCCATAACTGCTGCCGGAAAACCCACCAGACATGTGAACTGCCCAACAACCTCACCATGCACTTGTCCAGGTGTGTCTGTATGACATCAGGGTCTACATCCTTCACCTCCAGAACGTGAAGTTCTGCCTTCACACCATCCAGCACGCGCTTACAGTCAAGCATGCGCTGCTCAAAGTTAGCGGGCTTCTGGAAAAGCTGGAATTTTGTGGACACCTCTCGAAGTTTCCTCTGTTTGCAGAAATGAAAATAATAAGCAATTCACATCTGAATGATAATCTCTCTCTCTCATCAAATGATATTAGTATAACATATACCTCTAAAAAGCTATAAAGTACAACACCAACAAAACATTCAATAACGTGACCAAAAAAAAAAAAAAAGAAAAAAATCCTAAAGGATCTCAGTGTGGTTCCCCGATCACCTAAGTGAACTGGGCAGCCCAGTGCCATCAATCACTTGACACTCAGTGTCTCAATCCCACAGATAATAAATTCAGATAATAAATTTGGACAAACCTGGCTGGCCTTGCTGGAATTAAAACTTTTTAAATTTCCTCACCTGTTTGAAAAATATAGATCAGGAACCTAGAACTCAAAATGCCCTTCATCGCAAGTTCAGACTGAAATTCAATGTCACTTGGGTCATTAAGGGACAAAGTCTGATGCTACATCCCATGTGAACTCAGCCTGCTTTGTGCACCAGCCTCACCAGTACTGACAGGGGCTCTGCATTAAAGAAAAAGTCAATATAACGCTAACTTCTAAATCCGGCTTGTCCTCTCACTTCTCAACTCAACCGTAAAAATCAGGTTGAATACTTTTCCCACCCATGCAACCATTTGTTTCTGCTAACTTAGATGCAATGCGCCTTCAATATATCACTCCTCTCCCATGGTTTCCATCATAAAGAATACCAAAGGCACCCAAGTAATCAACTCTTTCTCCTTTTCTTTTTATGCCCAACACATTGAAAAGCAAAAGGATGCTTCTGATCATCTTTACCTGTAGCACATCCATCTGACTTCCTCCTCGAGCAGCCCTGCCGTCTGGGGAGGCCGGGAGCTGAGAACGCATATTTCTTCTCAGCTCCTCTAGGGTTAGTTCATGGGCTGAGATCTCTGCTTGGATTTTCTACAAAAGAGATTGGAAAGGGGAGCGGAAGGGGATGCCCTTTTTTAAAAAGCATAAAAATAGAAACAATACAAAAAAAGAACAATACAAAAGTTCCATATAGTTATGCAATATATAATATTATATTTTATATGATGTTGCCCCCACATAAGCTCTAATAAGTTTGTGGTATAATAATAATACAGGCTGCTGTATTTTAAGACTACTGTGTGCTATGTACATGCTAAAGAACTTGTATTCATCATTTCAAATGTTTACTATTTATTTATTAAAAATAAATTGTCCTGATTACATAACTAAGAAAACTACAATTTAAAAATGTTGGTCATTTACCAGAGTCTTACATAGAGAGCAAAGGAACTCCAAGACCCAAGTGCTGCCCATAAGTAAGGTCAATCTTTCCTGTGAACTCTCAGTTTTCCATGGCAGAAGTTCTCTTGCAGTAGAGGAAGTGAGCACCTATGCTCTCTTTTTAACTCAAAAGCCCTTAAATCTATAGCAGTACCTGAGCTTCCTGGGGAACTTGGAAAGCGTCTATCCTATCAGTCAAGTACGTGGTGAGCTGTTTGTCCAGCTCCCCCAAGCTCTCCTGTAAGACTTGAAGCATGTGATCAGTTTCCCGTAGGACCTGGAGTTGCTTTTCCAAAGAAATCTGCTTGTTCTCTGCCTACACAGGGGAGAAATTGAACCATCAGTTGCTCAGCACAAAAATAAATAACTGAATACATATATTCTGGCCACTAAGAAAAGTCTAACAGAGCACTAGTTCAAGACATTAGCCTTCCTTATAAATAAATAATAACTACTAATGGTAACAGTGAAAATGTCCTTCTAGGATCTTACATACCTTGTGGGTGAATTACTAATTTTTACTTTGTGGGTGAATTACTAATTTTTACTTCTTTTTATAGATAACAAAATTTTAAAATGTAAAGATTTCTTATAGAATACATTAAACAGAGGATAAAAATTTGTTACTTATTATAAATTTAGAGTGCTTTTAGGAATCAGCAATATCTGTCGATAAGAACATAAAATTTAACAAGAATGTCTGTCAATGAACATCTGAATCTCTTTTTTTCGAAAGTCTAAAACAAGTTCTGTTGAACCACTATTTGCTGCACTTTAGGGTTAAAAGCCTGATGCTATTCATCTAAACACCAACAGTTATTATTTAGTATGTGTTTGGAAGCACTGAATATGCACCCAAACTTTCTATAAAAGAACAGTGTCCTTTCTATAATTAGTGATATGGACATGCATGCTGTGATACAACCTGGATATGAACTAAGAGATTATGGCTTTCATAACAGTTGATGTCAAATCATGATGGCTGTAATATTTACTATGATAATATGAGTTATTATTCTTACATACAGCTATACTATGATCCTTAATGGGAATTAAATAGTTCACAGGTAGAAATAATCTCAAAGATAACTTTTTGTTAAACAAGTTCTGCCTGCATTATAAGTATTAGGTCTATTCTTCCCTCCCTGGTATGTCAGTGGCCTCGTTAGTGTTGGTTGCCAACTTTAACCATCATTAACCAACTTTACATATTCCCAACTTTAACCATCATTAACCAACTTTAGATATTCCCAACTTTAACCATCATTAAAGCCTTTCCAACATTAAAAGCTCTCTATGATACGGAGCTTAGGGTCAGCTCCATCTCATAAATGCCCAATCAACACTCACACAATTCTTACCAGATGACTCAGGTCTTCGTATCTGCTGTTAAAAGCCTCCAGTTTCTCGCTGATTATATCATCGAGAATCCCTCCATCAATCAGAGTCTGGCCAAGTTCCCGGATCTGGGTGCGATTATCTGCTGGGTGGCGTAAAACAGATTCCAGAGACTGTTCCAGGGACAGGGAGAAAAATAATGCTTTTACTAAGGCAAAATGTATCCAGGATCCCAAAAATGTACATTTTTTAAACAAGTAATTCCATTTTCTAGAAATCTACCTAAGGAATAAGACCAGAAATTAATTATATGACTAATTCACAAAGTATCCATATGGTACTAATAAATACATAAAATTGAGAAATCAGTATGAATGATACATGATGATATAATCGTCCACACAAACAATCCACACAAACAATTCCAAAAGTTATTAATTATATAGAGAAAAGCTTATGATGTGATTCAATGTTTGAAGGCAGAAAATGATACTATACAAGCAATATTATCTTAAGTGTTATTAATTGTATTACTAAAAATAGGTAAAAAATTATACTCTTTTTTTTCAACATATACAGAATAGAGTCACTGTTTTATACACACACTTTACATATATGAAAATCTAATTAACCATATGGGCTAAATATTCCAATTGTACAGATGGGAAAACTGAAGGTCAGAGAGGTTAAATAAGTTGCTACCCACACAGTCAAGAGCTAAGATTCCATGTGGGCTCCAAAGCCTTGATGACCCCCAGGCCTTTTATCCAGTGGAACTACCTTATAGTGCATGTACATAAAAAATAATACTAGGAAGAAATACACAAAACGTTTAAAAGTGTTTATCAGAGTTCACTTTACACTTTTCTCTATTTTCCATATATTCTAGAATGTACGTGAACTCTCATATTGGGAAAATATTCTTTTAGAAAGTAAGCTTTTCATTTTTTCATGGCTTTCATTTTTTCCAGTCTCTCACTCTGCTTTACTTGAGAAGTGCCATCTTTTCTCCAGCAGAACATCCGTCTCCTGGAATGCAGGGCCATACTTCACTTCCTCCTGACACTCAGTCGTCCACTCAATTCCCACATCGTGCCACTGCATTTCTAAAAGCATATCTACCTTCTCTCTTTTTTTAAGCAAACCTGCCCTCATCTACATTGCAATTCAGTTAAGAACAGTTATTTGAGTCATCGTGTAGCACACACTGTGCTGGAACTGAGGAACAACAATGGATGGAAGAACCGGGTACCCTGCCTCAAGAGCTTGAGGTCCAGGCGTGATGACAAGCTCCTATGAACAGGACCCCATGTGTTCAACTACTGTCCCTCAGCCTGTCTTTTAACTGTTGATATCTGAAGGTAACAGAACTAGAAGCCGCTGCAAACTGAGTCACTGTTGTGCTTAGTGAGTGAAACTAACTTGATGATGAAGCAGGAGAGCAGTTGTCCCAAAAAACATGGGACAGAGCTTTGTCCAGAGACTGGCAAAATAAACCTGCAAACACTAGAATGCGTGTCCGTGTCTGCCAATGTGCCGACGGCCATTTTCATGGGGCTGATACAGTGGTCCCAGATACTCTAAATACACACGACTGTATAAATACTTCGGACTAAGAAGAAACACAAGTTACACTGAAACTACTGAGAAGCAATGAGTTTTGCCACGTAAACCATAATGCTTCTTTTACACACATGCAACAAAAGAAATGCCACGCGAGAACGCGGGCTCCAACTCTAGGGCTTCATTGAGGGCATCTGCCTTCTCCGGCAGGACCTCTGTGCTCTTCATCCGCTCCTCCAAGGTGTTTAACAGGTGGTTTCAAGATCCAATAGTGAAGGAGTTCATCCAACAAGACCCAGACTCCTAAAGAGTAAAAAATTTAATCCAGACAAGCCATTTCGTACATCATACCTCAACGTGCCACACATTCTCTTTAATCAATAATAATTTCATTTCAGATTAAACATAGCTAGGAATTTAGAAACTGATGAAGTTGAATTTTCGATAAATGAAATAAAATTGAATTCGCTATAAATCGTATTAGACCAATTGGGCAGGGAGGGGACAAAGAGGAATGGGCATGAGGCTGCCTTGCTTTTCCCATAAATAAATTCCAGGATCTCACTAAATGTCAAAAATCAAACTATATACATCAGTAAGGGAAAAAGGATAGAAATATTATTGGTTTGCTTTTAAATTAAAAGAGAAAAATCACTAAGTTGTCAAAATTTTTAAATAATTGCACAGGAAATTAAAATCTCATGGGCCCCATCCAATTCCAACTCAGAGTTAACTGATGTAAAGAGTTTGCTGTGCAGCCAACTTTTTCCTAAAACAGAAGACAACCCTATCTAAGAAGAGAGCCATGCCAGGCTCACGAGTTCATGCCTGTAATGCCGTACTTTTGGAGGCTGAGGCAAGAGGATTGCTTGAGGCCAGGAGTTGAAAACCAGCCTGGGCAACACAGTGAGACCCCATTTGTGGCCCCCTGAGCCCAGGAACTCGAGGCTACAGTGAACTATGATGACACCACTGCACTCTAGCCTGGGAAATAGAGCAAGACCCTGTCTCAAAAAAAAGAAAAAAAAAAAAGGAAAGAGATTGAGCCACAGTTTACCCCAAATGGAGTTATACTGTTCCTACTGTGTTAGTTGCCATCACGTATTCCTCACCACTAAATTTTCCAAGGGTAGTGGGGGGCAGTCTGGAAACATTTATAAATTTATACTCCCTTATTCCATATAAGAGGAACCTATTTAAGTGGTAAATTTAGGAGAAAGATCTCAGCTTGGGGCCTCCTGGGTTTGTCCTCTGTGGGATCTACTGACCGAGTGAGGGCACACTCTAGTCTGCACTCCATGCAGGGCTCGCTGACCAGAGTAGCAGTCAGCAAACGTGTCTATAAAGGGCCAGAGGAAACAGTTTAAGTTTTAGGGGCCATATTTGGTCTCTGTCATAGATTCCTTTTTGGAGAGAAAGAGAGAGAGAATATGTATGTATGTCTGTGTGTGTGTGTATACACATGTGTGTTTTACAAGCCTTTAGAAATATAAAAACCATTCTTAGTTAACCAGGCATATAAACACAAGGCACAAGTTAGATTTAAACCCTCAGCCATAGTTTCTGTTTGGCCGAGAGCAAAAGGGAAAATAGGTTTCTAGTCCCTACATTTGTACAAGCAAAAAGCAGACCAAAACTCTGCTCAGATGCAAGCACAACCTCATTTCTTATGGGAAAGAAAAGACAGCTCGCAGAAAATCCCTCCCCAGAAGCAGACTGATTCCTATTCAATTAGCTTTCTTACTAACTAGTCTCAATTATATATATTTATCTTAGCACAAAATTGATTCAGAACAGGCAAATAATGAGTGAATTTAGGTTAAATATGGCAGTTGCCATTTTTTACTACTTCAGGATTTCCCAAAATACAATAATTTGTTTTAAGTTGAGTTGAATTTAAATTGTTAAACATTAAAATGCTTCTTCAATCTTCCAAAAAGATATGACAAAAGGCATACTACCATAAAGACAAACAAGCAAAAACTTAGTTTTATTTAAAAAAGAAAAACCTCACAGAGTCATCTGCATCTTAAATCTAATGTCCAGAGAGAAAAAAAAGGTACTTTATCTAAGGCAAAGCAAAATATCAGCATATTTAAGTTCTACTTTTCCTTCAGATGACTCTCTAACTTTAGACACCATTTAAAATTTAAAGAAACAAAACAAAAAACTTCAATTCATTTCTGTGTACTCAATCAGGCAAAACAAAGGAGATGCTTACAATGTCTTCAGAAATTCAGAAGAAGGTCATGTGTAACATGAAAACCCTGATTGCATACATTAAAAAAGTAAAGTCTGAAGATATTAAAAGACTTGCCCAAGAAATTTCCAATAACTGGGGACAGATCTTAGTCTCCTGTTTTTTTGAACCGTGTTTCGTTTTTTATCAATCTATTCCCTACGAACTACTTTTCCTTTATGATCCAGTATTTGAAAGAAAACAAAGTTTTTTCCAAGATTTAGAAATGGTCAGTACATTATAGAACTTGCATCTCAGAAAGGCATTGCTGAAAAAAAAAAAAAACAACATACCTCTAGCGTGTGGCACTTTCCTCGAATTCTGTTACAAAGAAGTTGGTAATTCTCCAGCACGACATTCAGCTCAGACGTCAACTCCTGGCCACCAGAGGGCACTTTGGCAGCTAACAACTTGATGTTGTCTTTGAGAATCTTCACCCTCACCTCCTTCTGCAACACATCCTCCTTTGCCCTCTGTTCCAAGAAAGGACGAACTTGAAAAATGTCTCCCTTTTGCAATAACCAATTTATTTCTTTCTCTTTTTAAATAACTAAACTAAAATTAAAGCACCTAGATGATTCTAACTGCCAATTTGGAGCATTATGCAGGTAATCACAGCAGTGAGCGTTTTTGAAATAAGATTGCTAACTATAACACTTTACTCATGCATCCCAGAAACATTTTCATTTCATAACAGCAGTGTTAACATCTAAGTTATCCTAAATTATATTTACTGACATGAAATAGTTGCAAATTCTGGGTCCAAGATAAGAATCTAAGTGAATTAATTTTAATTGATCACTGGAGATCTAAGCATATTAGAATAAAATAAATAAATTTTCACAAAAATTGGCATGCGCCATGGTAGAGGTATCCTTCAAACAGTTTCCCAAATGCTTTAAACATGTTTTTTTCTCCTAGAACACAGGTACATGTATCATTCTGATAATTAACAGCATTTCAAAGATGATAAAGGTATACTGGGACAATCTGATCCAGAAATAGCTGTTTCATCTGACTCCTCAAGATGAAAAATCTCACATTCAGGAAAAACAATTTAAAACAGCCTTTCACTTTCCACTTCGGCTTTCTCTATTGCTTAATGGCCTTCAACATCCCTAGGTTGGAGTAAAGTAACTAAGTGTAGTGTTTTTTAAATTTATAATGACTGTGTGAAAAAATAAAAATAAACAGAATGGCCCAATCAAGGATTTTAGTCTCATTTTTCTAAACTCTCATCTACAGCAACTTTAGAAAACCACAGAACTACAATGTCAGTAGTGTAAAAGAAGAGAATAAATGAGATAAGATTATTCTTTACATGGTAGGCTACCTTTAAAATACCTTATATACTGAATATTTTTAAAATATTTCACAAAGAGTTACACTATAAAAAATGTTTCAGTGAAAATACAACTTCAACAAAGGTCTCCTGTGATATTTACTTTGACTTACATATAATAATGCATGAATGTCATATAATCCCTTTTAAAAAAATAAAAAATCTGCACAAAGATTTTTGCTTTTGTTACACTTCCAGGGAAGTTAACTTTACGGTAAAACATTCACTGTGTTGTTTACGCTTATAGAAAAAAAAAATAGCCTTTCAGACATAACCTCTTTTGGTTTCAACACTCAAGGACAGCTGAAGCACTGTTAGAAATTTGGGAATGATGCCCAGTTCTTTTATTATATATATAAAAAAGAGAGTGTTCAAGACTATTGACACAGGAATATAAGCTTATAGAAAATATAGCCAGTGAATCCAACTGATATGACAGTCCTTGATGTGTTTCTACTGCTACATCAAAATTTTGGTATCCATGTGTACCCCATGTGTTAACTGGAAGATTACCACCTGGTAAAATACAGATAAACCCCAACCAACTCAGGAAGTCTTTTTTGCTCCTTATAAAAAAATAATTCTTCCTGAAAAATTTTGGAAATAGATAGTGGTGATGGCTGCAAAACATTCTGAATGTAATTAATGTCACTGAAGCGTGCACTTAAAAATTGTTAAAATGGCAAATTTCATGTGATATATATTTACTCGAATAAAAAATCATAATTAACTCTTCCTTATGCCTACTACCAGAGGTTTTTAAGTCATTATCTGTGGCTTCCCGAAGTTCCACCCTAAGAGATTGTCTCAAGGGCCTTCATGGACTCGACTCACGGGCCAAGCGGAACAAGTGGACTCGTAATTTCCTTTCCCCACTAAAATCATAGCAGCCACCTTTTTTTTTTTTTTATCAGTCTGAAATCCTGCTGTGAAAGGTGCTTGTGCATATGGTGCTTTACAGCTAGACAGATGACTGACGGGTGGTTTGAGAGGGAGGGAGGGAGAGAGGGATGAAGCCTGGTGGCACCAGCTGTCCCAGCCTCACCTTCATTTCTTCCACAGCACTCTCAAGCTCTTCTGGTGACTTGTACTCAAAATCCCTCTCCAGGTACTCTTCCTCAGCCTGTGTCATCCACTCCTGCATCTCCGCCAAGTCTTTCTTCAGGTTCACTGCTTTTTCCTGACTTTCAGACAACCTACTTTTTTGAATAGCAATCTAGAAAGGAAAAGCCATTCCCCCAAATAAACAAATGTTAACATGTTCAATGTCAAGTTCTAGTTTTTAATATTTAAAGACACAAGGATAACTTTCCACAAAGTCAGATAAAACCTTTTACACATTTTGTGCTGATACTGTGGCTTATAAGCAGCAACAAGAACAATATTATAACTGGGATTCTAGACCACATTTTGGATATCGATCTAATCTGGAACTATATATTAGAATTTTGAAAATGTATAACAGTTGACAGCAATCCTGGATGTAGGAATCTAAAGCAATAAAAGCATATATATATAAAGTAAATTTACTGTATCACTGTTTATTATGAAAAAGAGAACCAAAAAATTCCTAAAAGCAACCAAAATGTCCATTTTCTCCTTTTAAACAGAATTCTCCATTAAGATTTCACTTCTAAAAAACAAACAGGGAGAGGTTGCTATTAAAGATGTTCATGTAAAACATCTGCTCTACAAAATTGTGGTTTTGATAATCTACTATATTTGTATATTCCATGTAGACACACAAAAACAGTTATATTAGAAAATAGATCTTTATCATATCTTTATTCAGTAAGTTAGTTAAAAACTTGAGGGAAGTCTAGAAGCATTTGCAGAAAGCTTCTGGCCATAACCACAGGCTGACTTTTACTATGAGAGAAGATGCCATCTCGCAGTCACAGTCCAACCCTCCCTTGACATATTCAGGGTCCTGCTCAAATTAAATGTCACAGCAGTGGCCACCTTGCCAGGGCTCGCTGGGCTGCTAAGCTGACAGTAACCAAAGGCCAGCACAAGAAAAGGATGGTTCTCACAAGCTCAAGCGTGAAGCAAGAGTTAGCAGCTTTCCTGGTCCCTCCCGCCAAACAGGACACCAGTCACAAAAACAGACAGGGACGAAACAGGAGCTTTGCTTCCATTGCCCCACACGCACCCAAGGAACCAATGCCAGCAACACTAGTCAGTTATATAATTTTTAAGAACCCACAGAAAAATGAGAAAAATAAAGACACTGTTATGAATTTTTTTAAAAAATCCTCAAAATTATAATTAATTATCCTGATTTGTTTTATATACCTGTTCTTTCTTAGCAAAATAAAAATTTGGTGACACTATGCTTGTCCAAAACCACTTCAACACTTTTACTAGTCAATGAAGTATAGGAGTCTGGACCTGCTCTAGATAATTACTCACATACTTGTTGAGGACACTTAAAAATGTCCTATATATTTATTCCCATAGTTGAATCAATAATAATTCACAATAAATTCTTTGTTGTCATTTGTATGTGGATGGATGGATGGGTAGACAGACACAGACAGACAGACGGACACAGAGACAGACTTCTTCTATTTATCGCCTTCCTAGCTCCTCCAAGCTACTTCCAAACCATTTTCCCTCTTTACTTCCTCAAAAATCCCAATTCCTTCAGGCACATGCCATCAGATTATAGTTCATCTAGAAAAATCTGAATCTGGCTAGGATATTAGATGATAGTATAAAATTATTAGTTTCATAAGTGTGATAATGGTATTGTGGTTTTGTAGAAGAATGTTCTTATTCATGGGAGAAGCATGCTGGAGTATTTAGGGGTGAAGCATCATGATGTTTTCAACTTCCTGACAAAAGTACATTTCTAGCCCCACCCACTAAAAAAGAGTATGTGGGTGCATGTGTGTGTAAGAGGGTGCGTGTGTAAGAGGGTGTGTGCACACGTGTGCACGCACACCTATGTAAAAGAAGAGGTAGAGGGAGAGAAAGCAAATATAGTAAACATTAGCAAATCTCTGAAGAGGTATACTGGTATTTCTTGTACCATTATTTCAACTTTTCTTTACATTTGAACATGTTCAAAATAAGGACATCAGGGTAAAACAACAAAAACAAAATATTCAGGTATGGAAATATAAATTTTTCCTTAATAAACATCAGCCAAAAGCACTGTATTAAGAGACCTGTACCATCCACAGGACTGTGTGCAGGGTGCCTGTATTTCACATTTTCTCCTCTATTTTTCGTCCCTTTGTCAGTCACTTCAACTATATAGAATGCCACTGTTATTTCACTAACAAAATGAAAGCAATCAGAAGAGAAATACCTCCCTGTCCTGCTGTCCCCATACGGTTAATTTCATCCCCTGCTGCGTGATCATGGACTTCCCCTGAGAAATTCTCTTACCTCAATCTCTCCTGCACCATTACTTTCTTTTTCTAAGTGAGGTCCTCCTCTTCGGCATGCAAACACCCCGTAATCATCTCTCATTATTACAAATAACAAAAATACCTCTTGGGATCCCCATCCTCGGCACCTATTTCTCTGCTCCCCTGAATAGAGAAATTTCCCGAAGTTGGTCCTACTACTCGTCCCAGTTCCTCACTTTCCATTATCTCCTCAACATTCTCCATTATGACTTTCTTCCCCACCACTCCATGGAACCCACTGTTCTCAACCTCAAGAAAAGCCTCCATCTTGTCATCTTAGCAAATTTTAAGCTTGATTTTCAGTTCTGATTGGCCTCAGCAGTCCTCAGCATTGTGCATGGTGAAAAGCTTTCTCTGCCTGGCCTCTGGGGCCCCACCTTCCCCCGATTGTCTCTCCTCTTACTGATCTTTCCTTCCTAGCATCTAGCGTCTCACATTTAATACCTCCAGAATGGAAATCACCATTTCATCTGCACCCACAAAAGCTTCTGCTCCTTGAATCTTCGTTATTCCAGTAAATAGCACCACGATTCACACAAAGTGGAAGATTTGCAAAAACCCCCCAAGCTGTCTTTGACCATTCACTTTTCTTCTATCACACATCCAATTCTTCACTTGGGTCCCCTCTCTATTTGCAAAATATAGTCCAAACTTAGTATTTCTCATGACCTCTATCACTACCTTCCGAGTGCCAGGAGCCATCCTCTCTCTCTCTCTAAGACTTCAATAACCTCCTAAGTATTCTTCTGGTTTTCATTCTTGCCTTCTCAGAGCAAATTATCCTCATGAAAGCCCAGAGTGATCTGAAAAGATCTCTATCACATGTCACTCCCTGCTCAAAACCCTCAAATTTCTTTCTGTGTCATATCACACCTGGAATAAAATACAAAACCTTACCTCCAAGCCCATATCTAATCCATCTTCTGTCTACCTTCTGACCTCAAATATTCCCATTTTGCAACCCACTAACTCCTCTCTGTTCTATTGAACACAGCAAGCTCATTCTGACCACTGAGATTTAACCCTTGCTCTTCACCATGCAGGGATGTTCTTACCTGAACCGTACATGGCTTCCTTTACTCAGTTCTCTATTCAAATGTCCCTGTCACAAAAAGCCCTTCCCTGACCACCCTCTTTGAAATAACCCACCTAACCCTAACTCCCTGCTACTCCTTCATAATATTATTATTCATTTTCTATCTGCCTCACTACAATGCAAGCTCCTGAAGGGTAATTTATTGTTGTTCCTTGTTCAATGCCGGAGATCCAATGCCTAGAATGATGCCTGACATATGGCAGCTGATTAATAAATATTTGCTAAATAAATAAACGATTAACTGCTTTAACTATTGGATAACATACTCAAATGTTTTAGAGGCAAAGCAAATAACATAAATGCATGTGTTAAGCTGGATTTAAGACAAGAAGAAAAAGGAAGTTCCAGGCCAAATTAGAAAATTAGTGCCATTCCTTAATTTTAAAAAAATGATGTCTTTCTTGGCCCAATTTGCAACCCATGTTGTAGTTATTAGACCACTGTTTTTCAAACTGCACGGGTTATAAAATCCCTTTGGTCAGTCAAGAGATGCCACTGTCTTCACTTCTTGAAAACCACGAAGAGCAAAATTGAAAAAACTCACCTCCTTGCTAAATTTCTCCAGTTGGGTTTGGTAGTCAACTAGTCTTGTCTGCACCCAAGTTTTGATTCCAGCAATTGGACAGCTTCGAAGGTTAGCTTCTATTTCTTTCATGTTTTTCAGAGATGATTCAACTGTTTCTATTTCATTAACAAATGCCTGAACAAACAAAATATGCCCATGTTGAGTTCATTCTTATCTAAGTGGATGCCATAATTATAGTTTGTCTGCTTGCATTCCTGCAAATATTATAAAAGCAGATGGCTCAAGAGTCAGGACTTTTAACTACTTCAGATATATTGTTCCCTAAGAAATCCAACTCACCTGGGTGCTTCATATTGCCATCTGCCAAATTAGATTGGAAATACTTGACTCTCAGTAGGGAATAGTCTTTTAATTAATTTAGAGAAGCCGGATGATTTCACCAAATATAAATTGCACGCAGTATTACTAGCAAATTTCATTTGTTAAATATGGATTTCTTAAATCCTCACCATGTGGCACAAGAAAAGCAATATACAACTGGCTCCTAATAAACTAAAATTGCTCTTATTCTCTCCAAGAAAAATTCTATAACCATAGCCAAAAATAAAAATATGAATAATCTGTCATTCTTTTATTAGCTATAAAGTCATGAGACGATGAAAGATATTTTATCTAGGTTTAAGTCCATGTCATATTCTTACAATTTTAATAATAACAGCAAATAACAAAAAAAAGAAGAATATGTTATTTATTACAGCAGAACTCACAGAGCACTGGTCTAGCTGCCTCTGCAGACCTGCTGCGTCTCCCTGGGCAGCCGGCTCTTTCATTAAGAAGGCTTTCACACCATCCATACATTTCTCAATGACTTTTGAATCAGCCTAAAATGAACACAATAACAGAGGGGGATATTATTCAGTGACATTCAACCTACTACATCTCAAGATCTACAGCTACTAGAAAAAAGGCAACTTGTCAAAACTTTGATAGTATCATTTTCATTTATTTTATTTCTTTTTCTAAAACTTCCAACTTTGAAAATAATTATTTTGTTCACTCTTGACTAAAATCCTCAAGAGATGACAGCTTAGTAATGATTCTAAAAATTTCAAAACACTCTCCAGTGAACCAAGCTATTTTGCCTAAAAGCAACCAATATCTGTGATTAAAAATTCAAATTACATGCCGGGCACATGCCCATAATCTTGGCACTGTGGGAGGTCAAGGCATTAGGATTGTTTACAGTTAGGAGTTCGAGACCACCTAAGCAAAAGCCAGACCCTGTCTCTACTAAAAATAAAAAAAATAGCTGAGCATGGTGGTGCACGTCTGTAGTCTCAGCTACTTGGGAGGATGAGGCAAGAAGATGGCTTGAGCCCAGAAGTTTGAGGTTGCAGTGAGGTATGCTAATGCCACTATATTCTAGCCAGGGTGACAGAGCAAGATGTGGTTTCATTAAAAAAAAAAAAAAATTCAAATTACAAAAAAAAGTTTTTCTAGGTATAATCAGCTAGCAAAACCTTTTGCTCTCACATAGCTTAGAACAAATTTTCTCCTAAAGTTAGCTCCTCAGAGCAGTGATGAACAAATAGTATAATGAATGTAATACAATGGATTATTCTTAGTTCAGCTGTTAGATGCCTTGCTATCTGAGAACCCAAGACAGTCCACTACCCGGCTCCATTCCTTCATCCAACATTTGTTAAGCATCCATTGTATACAGTTATTGTGTATGGTGCTGAGGGTTCAAAGACAAATGAGAAAGCAAACATTTTGCAGAGAGAAAGAGACTTCACATGAAGGTAACATTGAAAATGAGCCAATGCAACTTGAGCTCCAATACTAAAGTGATGGTCAGTTCTTTCTAAGACTCCCATTCCACCATTAGTCAGTCTCACTTGTTAATTTCCCTAGTATTGAGCTGAATTTGTTTTCTTGTATCTTCTTCAGTTCTTCACTTCTTGTTCATCCCTAGGAATAGAGACAGATTTACTATCCTGTTCAAAAAAGCCCTTCAGATTTGAAGGCAACAACCATGTCTTTCCCTAGTCTTCTATTGATTAAACATTCCCAGTTCCTCCCCTGATGTCTCTAAGACATGATACCCAGGTATTGCACACACCATTCTCATCAACGTGCTCTAGAAACTACGCCAATTTTCTAATGTCCTTAAAATGCCACCCAGAACCAACTATTTTTATGCTTACAATATTGGAATGGATCATAAAGATAGAACTTAACTTATGGATAGTACACTTATTTTGAATTTTTAGTCTTTTAAATTTTTAGTCTTTTAGTCTTTTAGTCTTTTAGTCTTTTAGTCTTTGCTATCAGCTATTCCTCCCAGCTTTGCCTCATCTACAAATCTGACAGATGAGTATCCTTTGTCCTTTTTTTTTTTGTTGTTGTTGTTGCTGTTGAGTATTGGGTTTTTCCAAGTGAAAAATAAAGGCAGTGACAGTGCCTACCTGAGCATTTCCCCATGAGGACACTGTCAGTCATTAACTGACAAACTACTGGTCTTAGTTTCCAAAATATAAGAATCTACATAACAGTAGCATCTGCCTAGTTTTCCACTTTCTTCTTATAAGGTTATAAGAGATGATCACAAATACTTTCGTGAAATCAAGATCTGCCAAGGATGATAAATGGTGAGCATTATTTGAACTACATGAGGGTCCACCTTCAAATGTGAGATTCTATTATTCTGTGTGTCTAATACTCTAGCATCCCTCCCCCCCCCCAAAATAAAAGAAAGCAGCACTGAAAGGAAATGAGTGTGGGCAAAGTTTATTAGTGGCGCCCATGTTGATTCCTAGTGACCACCGCATTCTTCCCTAAGCACATATGACAGCTCTAATTGGTCATTTATCTTACAGCTTTACCAGGAACTGACATCAAGTTTACTTTAGGTCTTTAGCTTCTAGAAACTAATGTTCCTCCTTAATTAGAGCATTTTGTCCATCTCCATTTTTCTAGTAATTTCTCACAAGATCATGAAGTGACCCTGAGACCATGGGTAAAAATTATACTATTATTTGGGATGCAGGTTTATGGATTTGGAAGAACCCATGTGATTCATAGCTCGGGCTCTAATGCACTCTCGAGAATGACTATTCTACCCTTTCTGGTTTTGAGGGCCACTCCCTGATGAAGATGGGAAGCAAAAAATGCTTATACAGCCAGGCTGTTCTGGCTCCTCTGTTAGTATCACACCATCCCACCTAAGCGCTTCTGCACCCCCTTTACTCCAAGCAGAGCTTTGAAGGTTCTCTGAGTCCCACTGTGCCCTTTCTCCAAGCTTCCTCTCCCTCCATTTTCCAGCCTGCCTGTCACTATCTACGCAGGCTCATGCTACATGGTGAGTATTTTATTTTGGTTACAGATCTCTTCTGTCACTTTTTAAAATTGTCCATTTAACTAGTCACCACAGATTCTTGCACTGTTAATCTCCATCCTGAGCTTGCTAAGAACACATTACTGCAGTGTAACTGGGAAATTCATTAACTTAAGTTTTGAATAAGGAAAATGGATAGTCTCCTGGGCCATGGATTTTCAAAATTTACATGGAAACATTATATTCCAAGGAGGTTTTAACTACTATTGGCTCGTATTGAAAAAGGCGGCCTTAACTACTCCAGTCACTGGAATACGACAGGAAGTTTTATAGCCCCAATCTCCTTCCTTCCTCCCTCCTTCCTTCTCCCTCTCAGCCATACAGGCACGCACAGTTCACACACACCTGTTCCTTCCCTCACTCTCACACTGCGACGTGAGAAAAAAGAAGAAGGAAAGCAACAGACACAGACAAGCCATGTAGACCAACTGATCATCCCAAACAGTCACAAAAGGAGCAGATGAGAATCTAAAAAGCCACACTGTTCTCACTACTAGACATCCTGCATGTCATCGTGACCACGCCACATGCTAAGAGAGGCAGGGTGCCACGTGAAGAGAAAGACTAAGGTCTGACTGTGGAGCTCAGGACCTGACTAGAAATCTAACTCATATCCTTTTGAGTCTCAGCAGTTCATCTGGAAAACAGGAATAATAACAACGACCTTGCCTGGCTGCTCTGAAAAAGAGAGATAATGTTCAGACAGAGGCTACCACACAGAAGAATGCACTAAATGGCAGCTGTTATTACTAAGCTACAAACCCAACTGCTTTGCCACTACCAAGATTAACAGCATAAAGGAGTTACCACCTCCAAGGTTTGGTGTCTATGTCCCATCAGAGGCACCACCAGAACAAGCAGCCAGGAATAGTCTGTGTTTGCATAAGCATCCATTTAATTTTTTTAAATTGCTGCCAACATTAATGCTTGTTTGATCCTGTAACTGTATAAAAGTAACTGTTTAAAAACAACCATTTATCTGACTAGACCTGGCCAAACACAGCTCACCAGAATGAAACCAGGTAAAGGAGGGAAGGCCCGAACTTTAGAAATGCCTGGTGGCAGCAGATTCCCTCTGCATTCCCAGCCTGTGACCACACCACATGCTTAGGGTTATGAGTTACAGAGATCAATACTAGCTACCACCTGTGTGCAGGTGAAGGCAGGAGACAGGGAGCTCTGCTTTGTCCTCCCTTTCCCCCTCTTTCCCTAGAAGCAAAGTATTGCCTCAATCCACTCGTAGCAGATGTTTCCTGTGCAAAAATACCAAAAGTCTGATCATGTTCAAGTCCATTCCACAGCAAAGAGGTTACAAACAACACGAAAGAGCTCACACGAAAAGTGTTTCTCCATCCATTTAAAAACCACTCAGCTGATGCACATGAGTTTCTAATCTGCCACACTGAGCATTTAATATTTTCTCCACCTCCATCCACTTACAGAATGAATATATAAAGGCACGCGCGCACACACACACACACACACACACACACACACCTCTTTGTGGGACTTCAGTTCTTATAAAGCAAAACAAAAAATAAAAACTACTAGTTAATTTCTAAAACAAATGTCTGTCATTATTTCACATGCAAAAAAATAAACTGTAAGTACTAACCTGAGGCAGCCACATCTCATTCTAATTTTTACTCACAAATATTTAAGTAAATATAAAATTCCTAATATGGTATTTCTGAAAATCAAAATACCAAATATTCTAGTTTGGAAGGGTCAGAATTCCACATTGACCATGGCTGCTCCAAGGCAATGATTTATAAGCATTTTGGATGAGCAACTCCTGCTGTTGGGTCACAGAAAGGGAATGTAAGGTCATTAAAACAATTCCTTTAACCCTCTCTCCACCCCCTTCTCGCCCCATCCCCTGAGCTAAGAATGAAGGAAATTTAAAGCTTGGTAACTCTGGATTTAAGACAGTAAGACTCCAAGATATACAACTACCTCTCAAGACTTGATTACAGCTAAATTCTTGGCATTTTCTTTTCTCCTCCCCCTTCTGTTGGAATGTCCACAGCTTTTTAAGACACAAAGAACTGTGAAACCAGAATTAAAATAGTAATTTAAGGTTTCCATTTTGTTTGGCTTTATATTAGCAATATTCATTAACCTCAAAAGCACTACCTTGAAAAAGTGCTCTCTCACTTAGTAGAGAAGGCAAGCTATGACATTGCCACTACATGTATTTCTCTAAAACTAATAAAGTTCTTAAATCTAAGAGATGGAACATACCATTATTCCCTTTAGTAAAGTAAAATGTGTTCACAAATGAGAAAAAAAAAAAACACCTTATGAGTTAATAATATCAATTATGTTACCTAGAAAGAGTTAAATCAGTCACACTATTACTCTTAATTACTCTTAGAAAGTATTTATTATTGCATTTTAACCCTAAAATGCTTTCCAAAGTAATTTCAAAATCTGGTTCTGCATGTCTCTGAGTCCAGTATGGCCCCTTCCACATTCTGAGTC